GGAGAAGCGAGATCTACTGTGGTAGGATTTGGGGCAAGCAGCCCCTGAAAATAGGCCAGGTATGGAAGTGACAGCGGCGAACGGTGATTGGATTGTGGACGGTCGATGTAATTGAGGTTAATTACATCAAGCCTTGTGCCGGCGGAATAAGCCCTGGCATCGAGCCTTCAAACGAATGGATGACCCTACGACCGAAGCCAGTAAAGTTTCCACGGTAAAACCCAACTTTAGAAGCGAAGCGAAGTGAAGTCATAGAGGACTCGTTTTAAGTTGTCCCCAAGTTGCCAAGAAAGAGTTCCTTTGCACGAGTAAGAAACCGATGTATTTCCACAGATCACCCTCGTGGAGTATATGAGTTCTTTTTTTTTTTCGAATTTCTCGTATCGGTTTTCGTGGATTAGCATCTCGAGGTCCTTTGATGGGCATAAAGAAATCGTCTTAGTAGCACAAACCAATAGAACAAGGGTTAGCTCCGCAGCTGGTCTACAAGCAAGGTAAGTAGGTCCATTACCGGCCGACTCCGGACTGAAAAGACCTAACGGAGTAATCCCTTATCTCGGATCGGAGATGCTAACGGGGCGGGAATCGAAGTGGGGACCTCTCTACCGCCTGTGTCTATCTCTTGTCAAGTATGCTCCCCATACATAGACTAAGTAGAGGGTAGTACTCTTTGAAAGATAGAATATCACCGCGTGAACATAAAATGTTGTTACGAATATAACTCCCGAAGGATCGACCAAACAAACTTTTCGAAGTTCAGTCATAGAGATTTGGGTGCTTGCTTTATTATGAAACTTACATCTTGGAATAGAAATGAGATCAGAGAGCTTATCCTCATTAATATGGACTTGGCGCACGAACAAAAGTCAAAGCAAGACGAATGAGAATAGAGGGAATCTGAAGATTTCATAATCTTAGTAGTGGCACTTTCTGATCACCCTCTCTGGAAGGTACGGCATTCAGCTAGTGGATCGAATTGGGTAAATATAGAAAGGTAGTTTAAGAAGGTGATACGAAGTTCTCACCGAAAACCCTAATGAGCACGCCGGGCACTGCCGTCAAACTGCCGGCTGACCCCCGGCTGGACCCCCCTGATTCGATCAACAACGAGTACCCCAGACCCAACGAGATATACTCTCAGAACTCATACCTTTCGGGAGCTTCAAAAAAACGTCGATCTGTTGGAGCCTTCGCTCAGCAAGTAGATGAGCCCTCTCACCCAACTAACGCTACCCCACCTCGCCCTGTCTCGCCAAAGTTGAGCTTCCGGGACTTACTGAATAAGAACAGACCGCACGTATCGGTGTCGCCAACGGATGAAGGAGAGGAAACATTGGCCGACAGCATAACGGTGGTCGTGAATGGACGATCTGGAAAAATTTTGTTCTCAGACCCTTTTTGGCAATCATTGTTGCAGGAGTGGAAATACGCGGTGGTGGTGCGGTTGCTTGGACACTCGGTCTCCCCTTTGACGATGCACAACCGTTTGTCGACTTTGTGGCCTTCGATAAAAGGGAGCCCTATGATGGACCTGGAAAACGGATTCTATGTGGTCCGTTTTGATACATTTGATGAGCAAATGAGGGTTTTAACTGATGGGCCGTGGGTGATTGCTGACCACTATCTCCATGTCCAACCGTGGACGGTAGACTTTGACGCGACTGACCTTCGAACTCGGTCGGTAGTAGCCTGGGTTCGTTTGCCTGGCCTCCCGGTGCAATTCTATAACAAGAAGGTCTTCCGTTCCATTGGTCAAATTGTGGGAAAAGTTTTGAAAATTGACTATCAAACTGCAGAACGGATTCGGGGGAAGTACGCACGGCTAGCCTGTCTCCTAGATCTCTCCCAACCACTTTGCTCGGATTTTTAGATTGGAGGCAGGACCCAACGAGTTGAATACGAAAGCTTGCCGGAAATCTGTTTTACTTGCGGAATGTATGGACGGACATGCGGCGGCTTTGTGTCCAACAACTCGTGCCGCCGGAGAGGGAACTAGTAAAGGACCCCTAGCTAACGGGGAGGAGTCCGAGGTCCAGGGGGAACCCAACCGGGATAAACAATCCCAACCTGTCCAAACGGGGCCGGGTCCGTGGATGGTAGCACAAAAACGAACTAGGCAATATTCTCGGACATCTAAAACGCATGTGGATACCTCGACTAAGCCTAAAGGTGGCCCCGGGGGCTCCGGATCGCGCTTTGCTTCGCTACACGTGGAGGCTGAGGGGGAAATGACTGAGCAGAACTCTCATGGCCAACGGGGAGATTGGGTCTTTAAGGCGCAGGCCGGTGAAAGGGCGAATGGGCTTGGGCCGAAAGAGTGGAGGCATAAGGGATCAGATAAAGGAAAAGGTAGGTCCACACAGGAGGGAGGAGCTGGGGAAACTAGTCTAAGGAATCAACCGAGTTCGAGTAAGGAGCCTATCGTCGGGCAAGGATTACGAGGAGGAAAGGGCCGGGAAAGTACCAAGAGGAGAGTAGGGCTGACACAACACGGAGGCAAGGGTATAGATCAAGATGAGTTGCTCATGGTCCCTGTCAAGAGTGCACTTGATCCCACACGTCACCAAGCCGTAACATTTGTTAGCTCATCTTCGGAGGAGCAAGATATGGTAGTGGACCCTCATGCCACTTCCGGTGGCAACACCACTCTCCAGGAGGAGCCGCCCGATGATTCAAGTATGGACCTAGCCGACCAGACCCTACAGGTGGGAGATGAGGTTACAACGCCGGCACCGGGTCCTAGTAACCCATGCTCGTCCTGATGCTTTGGTCTTTCTCCCTCTCTTTGATTGTTTTTATGAATTATCTAGCCTGGAATGTACAAGGGGCAGGCTCTAGAAGATTTAGAGGAGCCTTCTCTACAATCATTAATCAACACCAGCCGGATGTGGTGGCTTTGTTTGAACCAAAGATTAGTGGAGTTAATGCAGATGTGTTCATTCGTCATTCTGGATTTGCCCATTCCTTCCGCGTGGAGGCTTCTGGTTTCTCGGGCGGAATTTGGGTGTTGTGGAGGGAGAGAGCTGAGGTGACTATCCTACGGTGTCACAAGCAGTTAGTTCATCTACAGGTTAAGATTGATGGGCAGGTTTCTTTGTTAACCTTCATTTATGCTTCACCAAACCCGCGTGGGAGACGTGTTCTGTGGCGACTCTTACACAATCTGGCCTTGTCCATTAGCGACCCCTGGCTTATTGGGGGTGATTTCAACTGTATCCTGCGGCCATCGGAAAGTTCAGGCGGTTCCCCCAATGGAGGAAGAGCATGCGGTGCCTTCTCTGATTGGGTCTTTGAGCATGAACTGCATGAGGTCAAAACTGATGGCATTAAATTCACATGGTGTAGACGGGACTTATCCAAGAAATTGGATAGGTTCTTATGCAATGAGGCTTGGCTCGATAGATTCCCGGATGCTTTTGTACTGCATATACCGCGTTTGCAGTCGGACCACAACCCTTTGTTGATTCGTTGCAAGGGTGGTCGGCACACGCCCCGAGGGGTTAAGCCCTTTCGGTTTTTAGCCCCGTGGCTACTGCATGAAGGGTTTAAGGATGTGGTTTCTGATTGTTGGTCTGAAGGCAGAAGCTTTGTCGAAGCGTCCTCCTCTTTCTCCACTGCGGCTAGGGACTGGAACTTTAGAGTTTTTGGCAACATCTTCGAGAAAAAGAAAACTCTCCTAGCACGCATTGGGGGGATCCAGCGCTCGCGTCAGACCCACCAATCCACTCGGCTAGCCCATTTGGAGAAAACTTTGACGGCCGAGCTGGAAGAAATTCTTCTTCAAGAAGAAGTCCTGATGATCCAAAAGTCGAGGCGAGATTGGGCTCTTTTTGGCGATCGCAACACTGCCTTTTACCATCGACAAGTCAAGGCCCGACGGCGACATAATAAAATTGTTGCACTGAAGGACAATGACAATAATTTGGTGACGGACCAGGTGGCCCTGCAACGCATGGCTGTTTCCTATTTCAAATCTATATACGTTGCGGGCCAGACGGCCCCGTTACCAAGGGACATGGGACTAGGGTTTCCCCCTTTGAGCTCTCAGGCTTCGGCCTTGCTTCAGAGGGAGGATAGATGTAATTTAGATGAGATTTTACGGGCCCTCAATGACATGGGCCCTTTGAAAGCACCGGGGATTGATGGACTCCATGCCCTTTTCTTTAAGAGCCAATGGGAGTGTGTTGGACAATCGGTTTGCACTCTGATCAGGTCGATATGTAATGGTGGTGATATGCCGGCGGAGGTCAATAAAACCCTTATAGTTCTCATTCCCAAACTTGAACAACCCGAAACGATCAAACAATTCCGGCCCATCAGTCTTCTTAACGTGGTGTATAAGTTGCTGACGAAGGTCCTCACGAACAGGATGAAGCCTCTCCTTCCTGGCTTAATTGGTCCGGCCCAATCCAGCTTTATCCCGGGCCGACAAATCCATGATAACATCATTGTGGCTCAAGAGTTAATACATTCAATGCGTAATAGAACTGGACGTAAGGGGTTTATGGTGGTGAAAGTCGACCTAGAGAAGGCCTATGATTTTCTAAGGTGGGATTTTGTTGAGGATACTCTTCTCTTGGCGGAGTTCCCACCGAGTTTTGTGACAGCCATTATGAAATGCGTTACTACGGCATCTATGCAAATCCTTTGGAATGGTGTTCCGAGTGAAGAGTTTCGTCCGTCGAGGGGGATCCGACAAGGTGACCCTATCTCCCCATATTTGTTTGTTCTTTGTATCGAACGACTGGCACATGCCATTCAACGTGCGGTGGGAGACGGGAAGTGGAAACCAATGACGGTAGGACGCGGCCGAGTGAAAATCCCTTATTTGCTATTCGCGGATGATTTACTTCTCTTTCTGGAGGCCTCGGCCCAGCAGGTAAATACTTTAAAGGAGGTTCTCGCAAACTTTTGCACCGTTTCAGGCCTGCGGGTGAGCGAACCCAAAACGAACATTTTTTTCTCGAAGAATGTTAGCCCACAGGAGAAACGAAACCTCTCGGACTTAGTGGGTTTCACAATGGTGGAGGATCTCGGCTATTATTTGGGCGTTCCTCTCATCCATGGACGGTCCACGGGCCGAACGTATGAGCGGCTAATTGAGAGGGCGGATAATAGGTTATCGGGATGGAAAGCAGCGTCCTTATCCTTGGCCGGTCGAGTGGTTCTTTCTCAAGCCGTAGTTAGCTCTCTTCCGTATTATACAATGCAATCCGTCCGTTTGCCTAACTCCATTTGTGAAGGGCTGGAAAAGCGTTGTAGGAGATTTATCTGGGGAGGCACGCGTGATAAACGAAAACTTAGCCTAGTTCGGTGGGAGGAGGTTTGCACGGCTCGGGAATTTGGTGGCCTTGGATTGGAATAATTCTCTAGCTTGGGTATATCCTCTAAAGGGTGCCTTTAAAGTGGGTGTATTTTTTGGGATCAATCTTGGCATCTTCCTTTTGTTTATTCGTCTTCTCGAAAGCCGAGAACAGAACGAATGGTTGGCGAAGAGGCTGAGCATTGTAGAATGTTTCCGCTTCCCACTGACGTAATAAAGTAGGCGAACAGGAGCTTTAAGGACTCTCAACATTGAACAACTCATAGGTATTGAACCAAGCAAGGCCGTTAAGGATAGGCACTGAAAACGCATACACGAGAAAAATGAGCTTTGGCAGCCGTAGTGTTATCAATTTTCAAGGGAGTTCCAATGTGCTTTGCCGCTTCCAATAAAAAATCCTCTTCAAAATACTGACGGTTTTCAGATGCTCGACTCATATTCTTTGCTTCACTTCGCTTCTAAAGTTGGGGAGAAAAGAAGTGAAGTTTGCCTTTGTCTTTACGAGTTGAGTAAACAAATTCAAAAAAAGCTTTCTCCGGGTCTAATGAGAAAGCATTCGTTCACGTCAGGCAATGGTTTTGTTGATGTAGTTGCTTGTACTTCTCTTTTGTTCGCTCTTGTCTTTTTTTACTACATCTGCTTTCTTTCGCCTCTCTATAAGGGCTTTTCTCGCTTGTAAGACAGGACAGTCGCCATTAATAAAGAGTATCGAACAGAAAACCTGCTTATGTCCGGCTCGAGAGTGGTTCTGTCTAACCCAATTCTCCTGCCCGATGGCAGCCTTTGCTTTTTTTTGACTTCACTTCGCTTCGAAAAGTTTGTTGGGTCGATTACATTGAGGATTCGTTCAGAGCCCATTTCTGTGCATTGGAATCTTCAGACTATGCTTCTTGTATTTGTATCCCGGGAAGCCTCTGGGGCAAGCTTTTTGTATAGCTTCTTAGCTTCTCCGTCGAGATCGGTAAGATTTAGACCGGGGCCACTATCGCTTTCATACGGTGAGAGCTATCGGTTCAAATCCAATAAAAGAGACTCGCCCTGGTATTTCATAACAAGTGGTATCGTTCGAAGGACCAGAAGGCATCCTTCGGATGGCGGCTTGCTTGCTCGACTGCAAGGAAGTTCACTAGCTCAACCGGAAGGGAGAGGAGAGCGACTGCTGACAACAATTTGTGCAGCTAAGGTCAATTACATCGAACCTAATTCGTTCTAACATGATATACATTTTGGATGCCGGCACGCCTACTCTCTTGTAGTCTTCCCACTAAGCAAGTAAAAAACCACTCTCTACGCAAGCAAGAGACAATAAATAACAAAGTCTGAGTCAATGGGATTTGGTTAATCGCTCACTCTGTCACGAGAATGGGTGGGTTTGCACACTTAACAGGAGCACCAACACCGGCACCGGGCCACGAAGATTAAATAGGTCTTCCCGCGGTTCCATTTCAGAGGAAGGATATATCACATTTACCCAAAACCGCTAATCCAGGAATTCTTCTTTCGCTAACATCTGGAAGTGAGATCGAATCACCAACTGCAGGACTTCGCCCTGGTGCTTTACCGCCAAGCGGTCAAAATAAAATAGTCAAAGTCTCAATCTCCTCAATAACTTGACATGGATGCTAGCACTGACCAAGGTAAAGAGCTGGCGTCTTGTTTAAAGACCGTGTAAGGGAAGGGCTCGAGGGAGACAAGCTTAGCGAGGATATAGATTGCCCTGTAGACCATCAATGGGCGACAACCTGCTTTTGGAAGCCTGGGATTAGTTCAACAGAAAGGGAGCTCGGGACAAGAGAAGGAAAGTTATGAGAAGCGAGAGCTGACCGGTAGTAAGGAAGAGTCATATTAGTAGTCAGCGTAGTAGCTAGTTTTTTTTAGTTAGTAGCATTGGAGGTAGAGTTCGCAAGGCTCTTGTATCCATGGAGGTTCTGGACCGCTCCAAGTAGTAAGAATCCCGATGTGAGTGATTGCGTTAAGTATATAAATAAGTAATATACTCTAGTTAGAGTAATGGTCAAAACTAAGAATTCTACGGAACTCGTTTCGAGTTGAGATCCTTTTCAACTTGGGGGAGCATAGCAACTGGGAGCAAGCCAGGGAGTGCCAAGTAGGCAGGGGATTCAAAAGATGGAGATCAATACCAAGAAGGTGTAGGATTGGAATGGTACTAGGGTTAGGAATTCTGAGCTATCCATGGAAGAGCCATATCAAGGAAAGTTGGATCTGCGGAAAGACAGATTAGCATGCCTATGCCAAACAAAGGAATGAAATAGATCAAGAACGGGATCGAGATGGGGGGGATATAGATCAAGAGAGAAAGCCCAAGAGCTTCCTGAACTAGCGGACCTTTTGGTAAAGAAGTTGTTCCCCGACATCTGAAAGATATAGCCCGGTAGCCATTTCTGCTTCTGGAAGTGGGCAGAGTAGAAACGACTCAACTAGTGGTAAGGATGTGAAGGAATGAAACTCGTTCGGAACTCGAATGAAAAAAGGTGCAGGGTCGATTACATTGAGGTGAACCAACTGGACTGGGCTTGGGACGCTCCCCCTCCTCCTACGGGGCAAACAAGATCAGTTAACTGACGCTTCTATCTAGTACGAGTCAATTGCATCGAACCTTCACGGGGCAAGCATTGTGTAACGAGCTACGGAGGAGATATCTTCCTTTAATGTGTATCCACTAACGAGGCGGATAAGTGGATTCTTTTCACTCTATTTCTCCGGAATCTAATATATAGTTTCTTGTTATTAAGCGAATGCGGTTGAAGCGATCAAGGGTAAATGCTTACTGACTTGGACCTGTTAGTAAGGGAAGGACAGGGCGAACCACAGCTTGAGAATCTCTAGGCGTGGCTAATGTCTCATACCCGCCAGGTAGTGCGATATGAGGCTTTAAAGTCAAGGAAGCATTCATTTTTTGAGTGGCTAAAATCCGGGTTTTTTAGCCGGTCTAGCGGATTTCAAAGTGAACCTAATGTTATGCCAGGAAACTCGTACTTTGATTAGCGTAAACCAGTTCGGGTCTAGAGAATAGACTGTATAAATTGGGGGACAATGGACACAAGACACGTCGAAGAGGGTGAGAGTCATCAGCAGATGGCAAAGACGAAGTCTCAGGAGAGGAAAGAAGAAGAAAAGCTTTCGTACTTTCAAAGTGAGATACAAGTAAAACGCTGGGCAGAAAAAGGGAACTCTCATGAACCCTATGGTCGTGAATCCCGCTGATACCACCGGTGATACTCCGACGGAACATAATTCGGACCCAACGAACTTTTCGAAGCGAAGTGAAGTCATAAAACCTTTCTCACTGTTGAACGCAAATCCGCACATTTGAAGGAAAGAGGCTGAATAGTCTAATTAGCCATATCGGGGACTACCCAGCTACTTCTTAATAGAAGGAAGTCAGTTCTTTCTTTTTCTTCTTGATGTCTTGTCGACCTAACCGAGGACTGATCTGTCTCTTTGAAAGAATCCAGTTCTCTTATCCCCTGCTCTCGATGGCCAGGGAAAAAACGAGAGTCAAGAAAGGCTACAAGAGTTAGATCCGGACATAGCCATAGCCGAATTAGCCTAGCTAGCAATAGTAAGTAGTTCTTTATCACTTCAGTCAATTACATCGAACCTCGTCCGGTCAAGCTGCTCCTCTCTCTGCCCTTGAAGCTCGCTCTTCAACCCGTACCGTAGCCTGTACACTCGTCAATTACACCTTCCCGAATTTATATGACTTCACTTCGCTTCGCTTCGAAAAGTTTTTAGAGTCTCACTTTGCTCTCCTCGATCTCTTTCTCCTTTACAGGAGGAAGGTCAATATATAAGGAATATTGATGGGGCGGGCCAGAAGAAAGAAGTGTTGACTGACGGGACGAGACGAAATAGATCCTCAAGCTTTGTTCACAACCGTTGAGCTAAACTTCTCCTGAGCCTGCTCTGATACCAAGGTACTTATTTAAAGTGAGATTCCTCCATAACCCGAGCTACTTTCTTTACTTTTTTTCTCTATCTTTGTATTCTAAGTTTCTCCATCACTCTATTTCTTAACCCGGAGACTGCGCTTATAGTGCCAAATAGACTCCTTCCTAGATCTTCCTTTATGAGCCCCCCTATTGAGCCTATGCCTTTCCGGCTCTTGCTCACAGGCCTACCATTGGCAACAGATACCAAAAAACCTTCATTCACTCCCAACTTTAGAAGCAAAGCGAAGTGAAGGAAAGGATTGGGGTGATTTGAAAGAAATATCACTATGGAAGGCGCTAACAAACCGAATGAAACGAGACTGACTACAGGAAGATATTAAATATCAGGTACAGGCGCAATAACTACTTCACGGGCTTCTTCCCTGATTGGCTTTCAAGTGGATTCAGCCTTCCCAGAGATATCTCATTTTTCTTTTCCTATAGGAATCCCGCATCAAGGAAAGAATAAGAATCTTTTCATTTTTGAATTGATAAGCGCAATAGCCATAGCCGTAGGGTCAATCCCCAGACCAGGCAATAACCATAAATGGCGATGAGAGAAAAGCTATTTCTTTCTGCTAGCCTACTTCCCTCCTGTTCACGACAACGACTCCGCTCTTTGTTGAGTGGGTAATTTCCTTTTCTTTAAAAGAATAGATTCTATATTACTGGTCTTAGCGGAAGAGGAGCTCTTAGCGATCCCCCGCTTTTTGACTTCTTTCTCTCTTTCCTTGGAAAGAACAGTTGTTTATTAAGGCCTAGCTTTTGCTTTTATAGAATCGACTTTGAAAGTGGAAAATAGGTCTCTTCTTCAATGAAGGCAGAACTATTCACTAAGCCAACAGGTTAGCGAAGGCACTTTTTCCGGTCTTGCTGCTTTAAAGCGAACGAGTCTTCCTTATTCCTATGGTCTAAATTACATCTATCCTATTCATCCTCTTGGCCACTCTGAACTCATAGGTAGCAGTGGTTCGGTTTACCTTCTTTCGCTTTGCCTTGGGTTCGGTGGTAGTAATAGTCCTTCTTTAGCTCGCTTCAAGTTAGACCTCGTACCTTCGGGAAGACCTTTCTTGCCAGATCCCTGCTATTAAATTAGATAAAAGATAGCAGATTTGAAATTACGACCGCTTCTATGACTTCACTTCGCTTCGCTTCTAAAGTATGGGTCGATGTAATTGAGATACAAATAGACTTTTTCTATTTAGGAGGACTGAAGGAGTTGAAGAAAGTAGTGGGAATGCGTCTAAGAGAGTGAGTTTAGACTGAAGCTGAGGGCGTTCAGGACAGTACAGCACTGCAAATAGGATTCTTCTAGCGTATAGTTTCCGGCCCAGTATTTGGGATTCTTCTGCTCGTATTGCGAGACGTAAGTGGTTTTGTTTTCTCAAACCCTTTACGAGTTGAGAAGCGAATGGATGAATAATCCGCTTTGATTTGAGTCTCAGTCCGGATCTTAGCTAGCACCTTTTCTTTTTTCCAAAAAAACAAAAGTTTACCAAACTTCCGTTCGAGTGGATTCCGAAAGGGGGGTTAGTCCTTTTTTTAATCATTTCTACATTACCCTTTTTTTAGCCTTATTAAGAAGCAAGGAATGGTGCTGCTAGTCTGAAGGCTAATAGCTAAATATAGTTTTTTATGTCATATCTACGGTCAAAAGAAAATGGGAATAGTGGATCGAATTTCCGTGAGTTCGTTTTTGGTCATCCTGCATTTCTGCACTTCACCGACCTTTGCAGATTAGGCTAATCGTATTATGAAAGGAAGGAAAAAAGGATAGATACGCAGTATTCTATAATGAACATTGTAAGATTAGAGTTTCTTTAGTAGGCCACAGCAGATCGAAAAGTCGCTAATTTAGCTCAGTCAAGTTCTCGTATGGGGAAGGATTTGGCCATTGGCAGTTGAGGGTTCCAAACCCCGCCTACGTAGGGTGTTAAGTGAGTAAAGTTGCCGCCTGATCTAAGAACCCAAAGAGCACCCATCAAACCACCTCTAGTTCGGGACCCATTTCTACAGTTCGGGTGCCAGAGTCCTACTTCCGGATCATACGCAACCTACGCCCTTTTGATCAGATAAGGCTTGCTTCCCTACTCGTCGCCGGGCGACGTACGGTGTGACAGACAAAGAAGATATGCGTGGGATTTGTTACCGTACGAAGGGGTAATCCGACCACCAGTTTCATCCAACGACATCGCGAGGGGGAAGTCTAAAAAAATGGAAGACGAAGTGGATACACAAGCCCGGAACCACTCACACCATGACGAGGCTCGATGAAATTGACGATACAAACTTTTCGAAGCGCAGTGAAGTCATAAGTAGTAGGGGTAAAGCCTTCAATTAAGCAAGGCAAGAAAGAGGTAAGTAGCGGTAATTCAGCTCTCGCTGGGTCAGCTCTTGGCCAATCTCTGCATTCGAGCGATTCGCACCTTGGCCTCCGTGATTGCAGAGACGGGTTCAACTTCAATCCACTTTGTAAAATGATCAACAACCACGATCAACCACCTTTTCTGGCCAGCGGCTACTGGAAATGGTCCAAGAATGTCCATTCCCCCATTGCGCGAAAGGCCAGGGACTACCAATAGACTTTAAGGGCTCAGGTGGTTGTCTGGGCACGTTGGCAAATTTCTGGCACTGGTCACATTTTTTGACCAACTCCTTAGCATCTGTGTTCATCGTTGGCCAATAATATCCTAAGAGGGCAGCCCTTCTGGATATTGCTAAAGCCCCTTCATGAGCACCACAGATGCCCTCATGTATTTCACGGAGAACATAGTCTCCTTCATCCTTTGAAACACATCTGGCCCAGGGATGGCTAAAAGATGTTCTGTAAAGGATGTCATCTTTAACAGCGTAGGCCGAGGAGAGCGAAGTGAGACTCAAAGAACGAAGCGAAGCTTCTATGACTGAAAAAAGCTTCTAAAGTTGGGTCGATTACATTGAGTTAAAGTATGCAAGATTTGAAGCTTGCCTTTGATTCGATACGACAGCGGGGTGACTCAAGGGTCGACGAAGTTGAGAGAGGATAAGTACCCCAAAAAAGGTTGACCGATACGAAACCGGATAAAGAACAGGGAACCCTTTTGGGAGGTTGGAGCAAGAAAAACATTGCAACCTAACCCCGAAACGACCCAAGAAAAGCTCACAGTCTTATTATTTAGTCTTTCTACTAATGTCTCCTGGAACGATAGAGGAAAGATATCAGTAGCAGAAGACAAATCGTAGGAAAATCAATCTTTATGACCTATCAGTCGGCGAAGAGGCCGAGTTTGGTTAAAAGTTCCGTTCCGTCCATGGGTATACGCCTTAAAACGGCCATACACCAATCATGGGCCGGACGCATAAGAGCTTGCTTGAATGTGTTCGGGAGATAGAATCACCTTAGCTTACCAGACCCCTTATCCTTAAAGCCCAGTCTTCCCAATGGGAATCGACTCAACAACTGATCATCAGATAACCTTTTGACCTCGGCTACTCTCCTACAGGATTTCAAAATATACTCGAAAATACCTGCTTGAGCAGCAGCTGCACGACAGTAAACTGATTCCTGGTTTGTAACCTGAGTATACATTGACCATGGAAAGTTTACATCGTCAGGATCCATCTCACCGGGTAGATGATCCGAGGAAAGAAGAAATAAGCGAACAGTGGAGTGAAGACCCGCGGCGTATACCCCTTGTACATAGCATATGGTAATGACGTTATGTACCACTACTATCATACGATACCTCTCCAGAGGAAAGAACATCGTAGAGTTCTATGCCAACCAGGTAAAAACCAAAGCTTGCTTAGCTGTAGTCAGAAAGGTCTCCCTGCTAAGCTCAAGCATTCGCCTCATTTAAGCCCGGGGCCAAAAGGATGGAAAGCTTTTTCACTGGTCAATTACACCTTTCCTTCACTGCGCTTCGCTTCTAAAGTATGGTCGAGCATCTTCAAACCTTGGCTTTCTTCTGCTTGGGAGGTTGCTTGTAGAGAGAGTAGGTTGCTCACATGTCGGTTGTGTCCCCTCTACTAAGGTTTGAGAGATGCTCTCCGAGTTGTTGATGTTTCGATATTCACTGTATCACCAGGGACCAATTCATGAGATAACAGTAAGATTGGAACATTCGCATATCCACGCATAGGAGCTCAACTCAATTACATCGACCCTAGTATAAGTAGTTGGTTTTAGTATATATATTATATATTACATTAGTTGTTGAATGTCAATGTCGCAGATCCTTAGTTCCGCTAGTCCTAGAAGTCGAACTCGCTCGCAGGTAGGGAGAATTGGTTCACATTCATTCCCAGCTAACCAACAGAGTGACTAGTGGTGGGCAAGAGACAGGGTGAGGTAGTTTATTTATTAAATAATCATTCCCCATGGTCATAGTGAAATTCGTTAGCTTTTTAAACTCCTGGGATATCTACTAGTCATCGCCTTGAGTCCGCCCTTCCTAGTTAGGCCATTTCCTATTTCCCGTACTAAAGCACCAACAGCGGGAGACTCATTCAAAGAACACCAAGGGTCGATGTAATTGAGATTAAAAAAAGATAAGGCTTTGTTGTTTCCTTCTCATTTGACCGTTTCTATGACTTCACTGCGCTTCGCTTCGTTTGTTGGGTTTGATATAAAAAATTCTCCACGCTATTCCCTCGCCGGGTAGGCACAAACCATCGGTAGGTTCACATGAACAATTGGTAGTTGACGCTTAAAATCAAATTATGACCATACAGAACGTTTATCGATTTGATTGGATTGCTTTCGACGCTTCGAATATCGAATAAACATGCTCTATTCAATCAAAGAATTCCACCCCTGGACGCTTTCCAATTCAATCTCACCGGTAGGCTAACTCGGATGGGTATGGTATATGCTTTCGTGCCCTACGACTAGTAGGTCACTCACTAACTCCCTTTCGAGTAGGATTAAGACGGAATAGCTTTTAGAAATAGAAAGATTATTTGATAGGAAGGCTCTGACAAGACCTGTATTAAATAAAAACATCGAAGGTTGGGCTATTGATAGAGGATAGCAAAAGGACGGACCGTGGGCATGCCTCTACGATAGCCCAAAGAGAAAGTAAACCATTACCGACCGTACAAACTTTTCGAAGCGAAGTGAAGTCAGAAGTAGTGCGAAGTGAGGGAATCAAGCCGGTGAATTAGAGTAAATACTAGAGTAGCTCACCTCAGTCTGAAACTGATAATAGAAGGTAGAAGGACGAATCAACTTCTTGAATCACTTGTTATAGGCCGGTTTGTTTTCTCAGGGGGTTCAGTAGTGAATGAAAGGAAAGTCGAAGATTGAGCTAATTCGTCTAAGCCAGTCAACTGAAAATCTCTCTTATTCATATATTACTTATTTTTCTTTTTTATAGAAAGAATTAAAAAAGAAATTCTTTCTATTGGATTCTCAGTTAGCTTTCTATAAATAGAACTTTCTCGCCGGTCGGGTGAAACTACTTATGATTCTGTGCCCGTCTGATTCGGTGCTGTCTTCCCCCTTCACTAAGAAAGAGTCTCGACCGACCCACTATTATCGTATTATAGAGATGAGATGTTGAAAGATAGAATAAGGCTCGATATAATTGACCTTACCTTACCGATGGGAACTCTTCGGGAATTTAGATAAATAAATCGAATTGAAACTCTGAGGTCAATGTAATCGAGCCTCTCAATGAGTTATTCAAAGAGACTCTGCTCACTAAAGCAGGTGCAAAAAGGAGTTTTCTTGTCCGATAGCGAGGGCTATGGCTATCTTCTACTTTCGATGCCATCTTCTTCAGTCAGTCTTGGGGCAAGGAGTTCTTCCGTCCCTCCCACAGCGGTAACGGCGATAGCTCGCTACGCCCCTTTCTTTTTTTAGGGATTGAATTCGTTCTCTTTCAAGCGTACTCTTCTGTGGGCGCCTATTTCTCAAGAAGAGCCCTTATTCCGCGGGTATGAAAGAAGACCTGGGGAGGATGCTAAGACCGGATAAAGACCTAAGCCCTATCTAAGTCAAGCTTCTTCTGTGCATTTGCTCAACTTCTAAGACCCAACTTTAGAAGCGAAGCAAAGTTCAGTCATAGAAGAGTCCGAAAGAATTAAGCAAATAGAATGGAAGTTGCTCTCCGGCTCGTTCCAAGTATTCCATTCGCTCCTCTCTGCATGAATCAAAAAATTTTGTATGGTATTTACCTCCCGGAAAGCCTTTTCTTTTGCTTGCCATGTCCCATTCCTTTCCCCCCTTTCTCTTAACTATCCTTCCTAATCGAAGGAAATCCAGTAAACGAAATTCAATCCTTCTACTTATAATCTAAAAATTCCATTCCAATGTTATATATAACATAATATGCTTGAAGCTGATTACGAGCACTAGAGTCTCCCTTCCTTGATCTCACCAGCTTCCAACGTTGGAGTCTATCGGGGGAGTGGTAATGATGGTCTCAGTGAAAGAAAGGATACCTGAAAGTTAAGTTCCGTTCCCCGGATGAGTCTTTCTGTGCTAATAATATTGATCTCCATCCCTTGAAAAAGAGATTTTTTGTCATTTTCTGCATCTTCAGCTCAGGGAAGCAACAGCTCATTTCAGTGTCGGGGATTTTTCTGCAAACCTTCATGCCCGGGGAACTGAACCTGAAACCTTTACCTTCATAGCTTTCCCCTTCTTCTAACCATTGGCTCACACCAACAGACAGACTTGCTTTTTCATTCAGACATTCTGACTAGGGTTTGTATCGGATCCGGGCACCAAATCCACTATATAAAATAAAAGGGACTCCCGCTAAGCGCGTAGATGCTCTTTTTGAGTGAGTGAAGTTGGTCATACATCGAAGATAGGTTTGACCTCCAACCCAACTATAAAAAAACTTGATAAGATCAGTAAGGGTTCGGCACCTCTCTGGTTTTTTTTCTTGACGCTTTCGTCGGGCCCAGAGGACCTAAGACTTGGCACTGGCCACCCATTCCCGCCGAGTTGAAGACGGATGACATTTGTTTTTCCCGTCTGGTCACTGACCTAATAAGTAGCCGAACCGAATAAGTAAGTAGGAGCATACTGAGCTACCACCTTGAGCGACATTCTCAATAGTCCGCCGCCAGGTGCCTTATATCTATAGAATTTCTTGTTCGTTCCCCTTAACCGCGCATAAGGATTCAAAGTCAAGGCACTGACTCCTGACCTGCAGTAAGCAATCTCCTAAGTGATTGCCGGGCTAAAGATATTCCTTTTGGTAGAACTGCCGGTACTCCACTTAGAAAAAATGCTCTTCTGCACCTGACCTAGTGGCTGAATCGACAGCAAAAGCAACTCCAATTTCAATTGGCATAGCAGCAGCAAGAGAAGGAAGGCAATCTTGTTGGCAGAGAAAGAGGCTCGATTACATTGACCTGATAGTAGGTTGAGTAAGAGAGAGTTCTCCGTGGCTTAAATCAAATTTGATTTGAGAAATGACAGCTACAAAGGCAGTCCTAACTAAAGAGAAATCCGCTGCTCCCGTGATGATCGGGAAGTACTTGACCTTTTTCTTTTCTCCAACTGTCATTGCAAGAGAATGAACTTCAACTGGCTTGGCAGATACTTATCACTGAACACTCTTTCACCGCTAATGAACCCGAAGGTACGGAGTAGAATGCTTTCCCGCCTGCTTTTCTCTATAGGGGTGCCAGTAGCTTTCTTCTCGGCGGCGATTATACTTTCCCAGGGTCAGGCTACGGAAGAAGATCAGAACCAGCGGACTCTGGCTGGGGGCGATCAAGAGGAGGAACCCCCGGATTGTTCGGGCTTTGAAGACAGCACCATCTAAGAGTGCTGGAGTACCGTCCAAAGGTACTGGGACGCCTCCGGACCTCCCCCAAGCGTCTGATGCTCAGTCCATCCGCGAGGACATTGATCAGTGGATGAAGCGAAAGGAAAGGAGGAAGAGTTCGCCAAGTTCATGGCGGCTCACAAGAAGACCTCTGATCGACTCACGGAGTTGGCACTCCAGGAGATCGAGGAGTCCCCTTTGACTGACGAGATCATGGCCCAGGCTCCGCCCCCGAAGTTCGTGATTCCGAAAATCAACGTCTACAACGGGACGGCGGGTCCAACTGACCATCTTCTCCACTACAGAAATATCATGGCACTGAACACATCAGAAGACTATCTGATGTGCCGTGTCTTCCCAGCCAGCCTCCACGGGCAGGCATTAGTCTGGTTCCATAAGATACCAGCGAAATCTGTCTCTTACTTCAAGGAGCTGAGCAGACTCTTCCTAGCTCAGTACTCTTGTAACCGGAGGCAGATCAAGGATCTTGACTACCTCTTCAACCTGAAGAAGAGCGTCACAGAATCCATTCGGGATTCCACTAAGCGATTCTGAGCTTCAGTCCTTCAGGTTGACAACTGCCAACGAGCAGTCAGCAGTGGTAGCCTACAAGAAAGGGCTACCCGTAGAGTCCAAGCTCTACCAGTCTCTGGTCAAGAATCGACCAGAGACCCTTGAAGACCTCCTGCTCCTGGTCCGAGCAGAGCGCTACGCAAAGCTCGAGGATGACGTTCAGAGTAACCTCGGGAAGTCTTCCCAGAAGATCAAGAACGAGATCCAAGATCTCATTGAGCGCGGGTATCTGAGGCAGTTTGTTGATCAGCAAGCAGCTCCTCCACCTCAGAACCCAGCTCCACAGCCTTTAGCTGCACCTCAGGCACAGTATCCACAGAACCCCCGAGCTGCGGTGATCACTGTGATCCACGGCAGGCCAACTGGTTTACCTCGGCGCGAACAAGAGCGCGGGGTTAGGCACCTTTAGGAACGGAACTATAAAGAGTGTGAGGTTCAATGTAATTGTCTCCCTTGCGGGACAGTTGATCCTCATGAATAGCCTTCCATCGAAAAGACAAGTCAAACTATGTGATATCTACTTAAATTACCCAAGGTCATTTAAAGTATACATTAGAAGTACACTACTTAGTCATGGGCCGGGGCATAATGAGAGGTAGTGGGATGCATGGCTCTATGTAATTGACCTCGTCCCGAACTAGCTAAACGAGGAATAGGTCAATTATATCGAGCCTTTCAAAGGCCGTATTCTGTCCAAAAGAAAAGAAAGTGCTCGCTTTTACCTCTTCACGTGAACAAGCTATTCTGTGCTCGGCGTCTACTATGAATCTTCCTCTCAAGCAGGGGATTCCCGAACAGCTTGTATTCGATGCATCTCATCCATGTCATCTTCTAAATCTAAATCTGGGCATCTATCTAAAATAGTAAATGCCGCTAATCGTCTGCTCTTCTTTGACACCGACTCGTCTCTTATAGATGCCACAAATGCTATCGAATAAGCCAAGCCTGGTCGAAACCGTGCTACTCCTACTGAGACTGCTGTTGATTCTCATATTTGTATTAGTCACTTTGCGGATTTGATGCCATCAGAGATTGACAGAGGGCTACTCGTTGATTAACTCTCTCCTGCTCTAGGACATTAACATTAAGGGGAAGCCCGGCCATTCGTAGATCTGAAACCTTTGCTTTTGCTAAAGATGGCATTCTATTATATTTGAAATGGAAGCAAACCCTATTTGTCCAAGCCCTATTCATGTGCAGCCCCTATTCGCCTATTCTCTGGCCGTGGGTGTGGGTCTTCTACTAGTGATCTTCTTGTAAGGGACATTGGCTGGCTTCATTCCTACCCCTGCGATTGGAGGAGAGGTTGAATAAGATGTTAAAGAATCGGTTTTTGCTCACGACTGCGGTACCATTGATTCTCTTGTCGTAAGGGTAGAAGGGACGATAGCTTCTGACGAGAGGGAAGTGGCGAAAGGAAGCGAATGAGCCGAGGCAAGGAAGCCAAAATATCCCCGGGGAGATCAAACTGTATCGATTTCACTGGCAAGAGTCAGCTCGGACGGAATGCTTTCGGCTTCAAATGCAGAAGCTCCTGACTCGAGGAAAGGTTCATCATCCGATTCTGTGCCATCTGATCTGGGCTTGGTTACCTTTAATAAGAATAAGAAGAGAGAGGGTTAGTTCGGGTCACCAGTCAGTGTTCTTGAATATCGAAGCTGTAGATAACACTTGAGAGAATTCCTTACACATGGTAAATAATTCCTGCAAAGAAGTGTTTGCTTCTCTCATAGGTTCAGAGTCCGATAAGTATCCCTTAGTCCTTAGTCTGAGCAGCTTGTTCCTTTGGAACGTTAGCATCATCTTTCGATTTCAGTCAAACAAGGGATATATTAGACTCCATCTTCTTTATGAGTTCATGATCAGGCTGAGAGATAATAGGCATAATAGCCTGAATACCAGAATTATCCAAATTGGAATTGTTAGCAGCCAGAGATGAGTCAATGGCATCTACTATTACCTGATGAGAAGAATAAACCCTTAACTGAGAATCATGAGAAGCAGTACTGGTTGAAGGATCGGCAGAAATCTGTATGTGCTGAGAAGTGTCTTTATTAACAGAAAAAAGATTCTGCTCTGTCTGATTGTCCGCAGTATTGTTTGGAATATTATATGTATTCTTATAAGATGATTGGATGGTGTTGCCCGTTGGCCTTTCGTCCTTGCCTGAGGTACGTTGTTCTTATTTGTGACACCCATATGGTTTGTGTCTGACCCAGCATAGTGCTTTTCTTGCCATTGTTCATTCTTCTTTGAAGCCGCAAAATGATAGTGAGGTCAATTATATCGAGCCTCAGTGGCAGCAGGCCATGTCTGAGGAATTGCCAGTCTTGCAGAAGACGTCGTTCATTACCTTATCAGATAGAGAGGGGTTCAAACCTCTTCCTGACGGAAATACCACTATTGAGGGAAATTCAGACTTGGTATCGATTCTGAGAAGACAAGACTTTTGCCCCACTGGCAAAGGTTACTTTTGTACGGGCTCTGATTGTAGTTGCCACGGTGAGAAAGTAGCCTTCGGTCCAGTGAGATGTGGGGAATGCTTTTCAGAAAGGAAAACTACATGAGGTCAATTATATCGAGCCTTCGCCAGGGTGATCAGTTTCTTAACATCTAGTTAGTCGACTCAGGAAGGCGTTGTATGGACTAAAACAAGCAAACTCCGGCTCGAAAGCAAGAAGCAAGGGATGAGCTGCGCGAAAGAACTTGATTGATAAAGGGGCGCTAACGCTTACCCATTTTATTAACAAAAACAGGAATGTGAGCTTACTACCGCCTGCTACAGATGCTTTACCGATGCCCCTCACTCCCCTGCCTGTACCTTCACCTGAGCGAGCTCAAAGGCAAGGGAAGGAAGAGATATTTACAGAACATAATTTAGGCACACCGTTTAACACAGTTACAGACGGAACAGATACAGGGCCCCTTTCCGACAGATAGAGATAAGACAGATTTACTGGATACGGGAGACTTTTGAGTTTCCGGATGACCTATTCCAGATTCGCTACTAAAAGAAGGCCTATATGCGCCTATTCGGATTCCAACCTTGAACTCCCGTTTTTAAAAAAAAGTCCATAGGAAAGAAGTACTTATACTTTTCTAAAGTGGAATGAAAGCTGATAACAAACTAGCAAAAATCAATCCCAAAAGAAAGCCTTATTTCGAGAGTTTTGACAGGAATAAATACCTCCCTTTTGAAAATGGCTTTTTACTCAACTAAAAAAGACAAATGGACATAGATCGAGATGAGCTCATTCACTCCTCACTCCAGAACTCGAGGAGGACGGGAAAGAAGACAGGGCGGGAGACCGGGCAGGGCAACTCTTTTAAAGTCAGGAATTCATGTACTGATTCCAGCGATGATAGCCGGATTGAGCTTGATTATCGAGAGTTATGATAGGCCTAAAACCCCGCTAGCTTTCACAGAGCTTATTGCTAAAGAAAGAAAGCGAATTAACGAAAGAAAGTTCCTCCAGCTAAAGAGAAATGACAAATTCCCGATTCAAGAAGAGAGATGAGCGATTCCAGATGCGACTAGTTAAAGGAAGAACGGGAATAGAACGTCCTGATACAGTATTCCTTTATTGAGTAGCTTGCAGCTACTCCCTTATTTTAGTGATTAGACTAGCTCTTGAAGGCGGAAGCAGACGGGCATCATAAATAGCCCCATTTTCCATTTCTTAGGTATTACATGACCTTGAGGGACCCAAACTAAGGTTTTCGGCAAAGAAGTCTTTGGGGTTTCATCAGCCAAGCGCAAAGAAAGCATCCAAGTGAGAGTCGAACCCACGAGCATCAGGTATTCAGGGGGCTCCCATCCAATGTCCAAGGGCCGGGCATAGGTAGCAAGTGAAAGCTTGAGATGATATTGCTCACCAAGCCTAGTATTAGTATTAGTATTTAATTGGAAATCCCATAGGCAAAGAAGTCTCGTAGCTCCACAAATCGGTAGGTACTTCACCAACTGTGAATAAAGAGAGGTTCGATATAATTGACCTCAAAAGTTCTGGCTAGAGAAACTCATTTTTGAGCATCCCGATGCCCTATGTCATTTAGTGTATCTCACGATATCAAAACCCGTGTTTTTCTGTAAAAAAATAAAGTCAAGTTTTTGGCCCTCCATATAGATACCGAAACCCCAGCAATTTCAGGGTCAGCTAGACCCGTGTACCGAACAAAGATGTAGGAGATGCGGCAGTTCTGTTCCAGTCTATGACAGCACTACAACTAACACAACTACGAGCTAAGGTCAATTTCATCGAGCCAGTGGGAGCGAAGCAAGCTTTTTCCTTTCAGTCGAGTGAGTAAACTATCCCAGTAGTGCACCCGGCAAACTGCCCCTACACACGTAAGGGGCTAGAATTTCTATAGTTCGCAGAACAAACTTCCTTATGATAAAGGCTTCCAAAGAGAGCGGAACGCATTCAAAGAAAAACTCGTCTTTGTAGAGCCACGCAATTCCGTTTCGATAAACTACCTTGCTTACTTAAATAGCAGCTATCGCGCATTATTCACTCCACTTACTACTTATCATTCTCCTTTATATTGCCATCATGCTTAGGAAAAGAAATTCTTATGTGCACAGGGGTTCTGACTCGTAAGATGAAGAGGAAAATTAAAGAAGGAAGTCCCCTCGACTTCTATGACTTCACTTCGCTTCGTTCTTTGAGTCTCACTTTGCTCTCCTCATCCTCATCTCGTTCGGCAGCTAGTTCCTTTATTACGTCGTTCCGTTCAAAAAGGCATTCTGCTATCTGCTGGTGCCATTGGAAGTCCACAGTTACTACTGTTGAGTGGCAACAGGTGGTTGGCATAACGTAGGTGGGGGCTCATGTTGAAGAAAAATGTTTTCCCCTCCTCTAACCATTGCCGGCGCATAACTTATACATCCCCAAGCAAGGAGACAAAAGTAAAATCTCCACATCTATATAATGCTGGGCAAGGTGCGAAATACCGTTTTATTCTTAGAACGCAAGCTCTACTTACTGAATAGTGAGAACGGATTTCCGCCAGTGTTAGTAGCGGGGAAGATGAAGCTTTACTAAGACTTTTTTTTTCAAGGAGATTAGCTGCTGCCATAGTTTGACCTGGTGCAAAACAGTGTTCAAGCTCTCTGTCTGAACTTCTTATGCCTCTAGTCGCCGATGGAGAAAGTTCTCGCCGGTTTATGTTACCGTGCTGTCTTACGCTTATACAGTTATAAGTGCTTACACCCCGGAGTAGAAATTCATTATTTCTTTTGAAAAACCTTTTTCTTCTCTTACGAAATTGAAAGAATTTCTCAAAAAGGATACACAACGTATGATCATGTTTGCGAAAACTACTTATGCTAGTCCGAAAGGCTCCTAAAAGCAAGCTTTCTCACCAGCAGGAATTCAAATTCGCCTGGACCGTGCCCTAGCTAAGGTGGAATGACCTTACTTGTATCCACAAAAAAAAGTAAAGTGCCTAACGCGGGTATAAAAAAGATCATTGCCCGATTCTAATAGACCTCAGTGGCTCTACTCTCTTAAGCTCGTAAGTCACGGAACTCTATTCCTTTACTCCAACAGTTAAGTAAAAGGTCAATTACATCGAACCTGCCGTCAGACTGGTATGACTCCTTACCTCTCCTTCCAGTCGACTAACTTAAAGTACCTCTCCGGGTAACTAGGAGTTCCCTACCTACGTACCCGGTAACTCTGTTCCCCCCCTTCGGGCCCTTTGGTCGAGCTTCTTCACTCCTAGTTACCCGGTAACTTCGTTCCATTCCATTCCCGCGTAGTGGGACCCTTTTGTCCCGCGGTAAAGCTACTTAATAAGAAAGCTACTTAAGCGGGGAAGCTACTTTCCGTACCTCTTCTCTATAAGAAATTACCGCGGTCGGAAAAGCATTGAATTTCATTTCTGGGGAAGAAAGTGCTTCATTTCCGTTTTCGAATGCCGTGCAAACGAAATCTCAAGTTTTCGCTGATTTCATTGAAAGAAAAAAAGACGGGAAAACGCCATTTCTCAAGGACTAGCAATGACTATCCCCTCGAGAACACCTTTCGACCCATCACCCGCAAATTGAATATCACCCATTATTTAAACAGCTTGCTCCTTCGCGATTCTTCATACTATTCGATTGAAAAAAGGATAATCCTCATAGAAAGAATTGTTAACTGATTCAGGTAGTTTAATACTTAGTAGCTTGCTCATAAAGTAGGAATTCCTAGGTACTCTAGTAGCCCATTGTTGGTTGCTCTTATTGCATACTTGCCTGAAGGAAGTAGCTTTCAAAGGTGAAATGAAGTAAGCTTTCCCGAGTTGACGAGATGGCAAAGAGAAGAGGTTCGATATAATTGACCTCCCATTGTTATAGAAGCAGTCACCAATCCACGTGTCGTACCCTGGAATTATACCTCTTGCCCCCAGCAAATGTAGTCTTACCTCAAGACAACTCCGCAACCGAGTACCAGCTCTTCACCCAATTACTCTGTCTCCTCCTTACCGTAATGCAAATCTCGTATCTTAAGGAGAAAGCGATGGAAGATTCAGTATCCGGATGAAAATCCGGAGTCCACTTGAGCATCCGCATAGGATAGCCATTGATATACCAACTCCTTTTGGTCCACAGTCGTGTATAATAATATTCAGAGCCTGGACGGATAAGAACGTGGCGGGAATCCATTAGGGTTAGGGCAAGACTGCATTCAGTTTTGAGAAGATATAAAAAGAAGAAAGAAGATAGAATCGCTTCCTGTGGCTGGATTGAATCCTTTCTTACCAGGTATGTCCCCTGTCAGCCTAACGTCTTCTCTTTTAATTGGTTTATTTCGCTCCTCTCCCTAAGGTCGAGCATATTTCACTCCTTTCTCAATTACACCTTTCCTCTCCCTTTGGTCGAGTATCTTCAAACCTTCACTTCGCTTCTAAAGTTGGGGGGACCATCTATTATTTCATAACCTGTATTGGTGCGGTAGAGCGGTACCTGATATGCTCGATCCATAGAGAAAGAGGGAGTACCAAGTTGTATTCAGGAGTCGGATATTTTCACCTATCCATCAATCAGTCATCCCATTTCCTTCCTGTGTGACACCGTGTGCTTTGGTCTAATAGCTTCGTTCCTTCCATAATAAAAAAACAGAGCCTTGTTGGCGTTGGCAAACTACAATCACCTTGGATGGTCTGCCTCTCATCCGCTGGCTTTTCTCGCTTCAATCCCAGTGGCCTGGTGTAGGCGTCCTGGCTCTTCCTTTCGCTTTGGCTCTCTTTTCTCCTTGGGAATTTCTTTTCTTTCTTTTTACGGGTCGTAGCGGTTCTTCCATGTTAACTTAGTTGCAAAGCATCCGTCATTGGATTTTTCTCCATCTCATACTAGGGTAGGCTTTTGCTTCTACTGGGATTTTGAGATCTATTGCTATTTATTTAATAGGGTGGAGCAAGCTTAAACCTTGTTCGACGAAGGTCAATTGCATCGAACGAAGTTCAGTCATAGACAAAAGAAGGCCATCAACGCTCTTGGTAAATTTGCAAGAGCTGCACCAATGAACCTCTCATATGAAGACAAGTCAGTCTTTCTTCTCTCATCGGACGATCTATCCATGGTCATTGGATGGATTGAATCAGGAGCGGATTTACAAGATGCTGATGTTTATGATGACCGCCTACAATGCGTACATCGCGGGAGGACAGAGTCCACTGCAGGCATACGTACTGATTACACAGGGATTCAATGGCATCTTGCAAGGATGGTGGGCGCCCCGATAAGTAAGGGAGCCCTATGACTCCACTCCATGTAAAAAAAGGAGGGCTCCCGCGCGATACTACGCAAACTTCTATGACTGAAAAAAGCTTCGAAAAGTTTGTTTGGTAGCAATTCTTTTTTCTAAGAAAAAAGCTTTCTTAATATAATACGCAAATTATGGATAAAGTTTAAATACTCAGCAGTGAAAGAGACGAAAGACTAGAAATGGCTAAAAGAAAGCTCGCATGCCGGGGAAGCGCTCTATCATAGAAAGTGTCACTTGGTATGGCTAAAGCCGGTTGATACGAAGACTTCCTGGAATCACGGAAACTGGATCATCGCTGAAGGCCTCAAAAACGAGAGCATCCTATCTGATAAGCACGCTGGCTGAAAGAGAGCTTGCATGAATCCCCAGGTTTAGCGTAGCCCTGCAAGGGATTCTCCTACGACTACTGGCAACAAGGAGACTACTTCAAAGACTCTTTGACCTATAACCTACTGACCTCGAACCAGATTGATAGTCATATGAGGCCTAAGGTCAATTACCTCTTTTGTCTATGACTGAAAAAAGCTTCGCCAATACTTCTGACTGAACTTCGCTTCGTTCGTTCCCTCGTCCCTCTCCTTTCAGTCGAGCTATTTCGTGCACCCTATCATGTGCTTCAAGATCGTAGTAATGCCCGCATTGACTCTTTGAGTAGGGAAGGACTGTGAGAGTATGCTTTGAAGTCAACTCGGCTTAGTGAAAAGATCCCTCTTTCTTCTCTGCTTTCTCCTATTCCGGAGATAGACTGAACGAAGTAAGAATTAGTCGGTTCTCCACGTTACGTTAGCCAAGACGAAGGAAGAGCAGTTCGAGCCCTATCAGGTTCGATGTAATTGACCTCTCCTTTCGCGCCCCTTCCGAAGGAACTCTTTTCCTTCACTTCGCTTCGCTTCGTTCGTTGGGTCAATGTAATTGAGATAGCACGTGTTTATGGATTGAACGAGATTCAAGCTGGGAGAGAGATTTCTGATAAGGGATCAGACCACCACGGTAGATGTGGTTCGAACTAGTCATTAATGGTTGGCTTAAAAAGTCTCCTTTCGGTATGTGTTGTGAACACTTTCATTTTTAGCCTCTCATCTTCTCTAGAGAAGCAAAACTCTAACGGATAGAACAGATGGTCCAACTACATAACTTTTTCTTTTTAATTACTTCCATGGTCGTGCCTCGTGGCACGGCAGCACCCGTACTATTGAAATGGTTCGTCAGTAGAGATGTTCCCACAGGTGCCCCTTTTTCCAATGGTACTATAATTCCTATTCCTATCCCTTCATTCCCTCTTTTGGTCTATCTACATTCAAGGAAATTCATACGCTCCACAGACAGAGCAAAAAGTAGAGTCTTGGTCAGAGCAAGCCGTCCTATTCTATTACCAGACAGAATTGGGAGAAGCTCATCCGAAACTAGAGCTAGAAACGCCCTATTTCGTTTCGTTCCCGTTCTTCATTTCCTTCTTATCGAATCAAAGGGGGCCTTATCATATTTAGAATCTTTCTGCGGTGTGCTCCCTTTACTATTCTTTCGTACTTTCTTCTTTTTACCACGCGATAGGTCAGCGAAGCGTGAGCGGGCGCGGAGAAGGAAAGGCCAAAGACTTCGGCCTAACGGGAATGAGCAACGACGAAATGAGAAGATGAGGTGCCCCGGGCACCCCCATTTAGAAAGAAGGGTCGAAGCTGTAGCTTTCCCCGTCTCCCCTTCGTCGGGCGGTGCTTGTGTGGGGGATGCGCCACCAGAAATCGGGCTTGAAGCTCTCACCTTACCAACGAGCCGACAGCTGATGGCTGTTGGTCACGACGACTACCAAAAAGCTCCAATGAAGATGAATATTTCACATGGAGGAGTGTGCATCTTTATGTTGGGTGTTTTTCTGTCGTGCGACCCGTCGGCTTATGTGCGACCTGTGGCCCACGCCTCCTATTTGTTCAGGGCGGGCGGCGTGAACTCTGATTCGATCCGGGTATTCAATCCCGCCGCTGAGATGCTCAGTTGACTCCTTAACCTTGATAGGAAGATGGCTTATTCAATAATTCGTGCATAAGGGTAAGGAACTTTGGATGAACTAATGCGAATGGGTGTAAGCTTCGCTGCTCGGAAACACCCAGTGCTGACCACACTGAGAGACACGAAAGCGCAGGTAACGCCAGTTGGCGAAGTGGCGTTAAGCATTCCTAGCGGTACGAAAAGAGAGGTCGTGATGATATCATCTACGTCCGTACCGCTCCTCGTGGAGTAGATCCCGCATCCAACCAAGTCTTTGATCAGGGAACGGGAGAATTCCCACTACCGCTGGCAGGCCAGCCGGGCCGTGAGCGCGGTGGGAACGGGCTTCCCAAAAAGCCGGCCCGGGCCGGGGTCAGCATAGTAGAATGAAGGGGACGGCCGTTGTGTTGGCAAAGCCAACTTCTTGGGTTTCGGGCGGAGAAAAGCGGACGTGGGGACGAATCCAGGCTCGACCTTAGGGAGAGGGGACGAAGGTCGGGGCGCAGCGTAACTAAGAGAGCCATGTAATTTAGGGCTTCCAAAAAAGCCGGCCCGGGCGGTCTGGTGTCCGAGCCGATTGGTCAGACGACGACTACTTCGACGATTCTTATTATTAGCCTACCGGGATGGAATAGAAAGAACGCGAAAGGCTAGTGTGGTCGGTTTTTTTTGTGGTCAAAAAGACAAGCCATCCCCGCCCCGCACTCATAATCAACTGCTAGCTTTCCCCATCTCTCCTAAACTTCCCCCGGTCTTTGGCCCGAGCTGTATGAGGCAGAAACTCGTCCCACGTACGGTTCGGAGGCCGAGCCCCACCCCAGCAGTCAGGGTGCGACTTAGGTCAACTAAGACAAAGAAGATAGAGTTCACTCAACGATTGCCTTTGGGTTCCGAACTCCATATGGGGAAGGAGCGTTGTTGTTTGCGAGGTCTCGATCATTTACATGGACCCACTTTGAATGTAATTTGTGGGAATTTGATGATCTATAAACCGCCCCTAACGAACGATCGGCTCATCTTTGAGCATGATGAATCACTTTGTGCCGACCTGTTGCCAATCTACTTGGAGATCTTATATGAGAATGGAAAACTTGAGCATTTTCTGCATCGGTGGATGAAGAATCGCGAACATAATAATTTCCGGTTGACCATGTTTCCAGAAAAAAGATACTTTCGAGAAAGGACGAGCACGACTGAAGTGGCTATACATACTAATCTATTTACGGATCTATATGCTTTGATTGGAACTGGAAGTTCCAGAACCGGCGGCTGGTATACCACCATAGTGAAACTGCCTTTTCTTTTTTTTATTCGGATCGGATTTATGTTGGCTTCGTTGGGAGGCTCGCGTAGTTTGTTACGTCAGCTCCAAAAGGAGTTGTTGCCTTGGAATTGATAAAGTTCCGTGGAGTTCATAATTGCATAAAATCAGTCAAAAAAGTAGTGGCTACGGCGCGTTGAGGCACTTCTTCGACCCGCTCTGAAAAATGCATGGGTCGGCAGGCGGGCGAGACAGAATGGGCTGGCACTACTAACCAAGCCCAGTTCTCGCCGATAGGCGCTGGTAGTCTTGTCTTATATGATAGTTGTGGCCATAGCCACAAGGAGCCGCACAGCACTTGTACAATGCTCAAGTCAAGGCCCCTTCCCACTCGTTGCCCAGAGGTGCTGGTTCGAGTGACAAAGGGCTACCTTCTTGCTGTTCGTGCTTGGTTTGCCGCGAAAGGAACGAACAGCTCGAGAGCGACGAGCAGGACGAATACCGCTTCATCGCGTAGCGACTACAGCCCAGAGGCTCAAATAAAAGCTGTGAGCCTTAACTTAAATAATTAACTATTCCTTGTCTAAATATGCACATAGAAAGATCCCCCTAGATACAGCCGCAGCCAGTGTGATTGATTCGCAGTGCTAACTAGCTTCATTAGAGTCGGAGCCGTCAAGCCTCACAGAGCCATTCTTTAGTTTTTCGATGTACTAGGGTAGGGTTATGTCACTCTTTTTATTCGAATCATTTGGAACGGCAGTTTCACTTACTTCGACTGGACGGTGAGTACCGTATTTCGCCCCTTTGACACCTAAGGTAGAGCTGTTATGCCCGATCTCCGAACAGAACGAATGAAGATGGTGGGATGAAGCAGTCTTTAAAAAACCATGGGTAAGGGAAGGCAAGGTGATTTATCACTGAGGTTCGATATAATTGACCTATTTCGCTTCTTCCGCTTTTGGGGATTCCACTAATAGAACAAAACCCGAGGGGATTGAAAGTATCTAAGTACCATCGGCATCTTAAAGGAAGTGAGCCATTGGCTATGATGGGGCACTAACGGTCTAAGAAGAAGTAGCGGTGGCTCGATATAATTGACCTAAAGAAGTGCTCAACCTCTCCTCTCGTCATGCAGTCTTCAGTCATGGGCTTTTATGTGGTCAGGACGAAGGGAAATTGACTAGCCTATAGTTTGATCGCTGATCGAGTGTGAAGTACAAAGCGATCAAGTTCCAGTAGTGCCAGCGATAACCAAACCCCTTGCCCTGCTTTTCTCAATTTTCTATCTCGGCGAAAGAGGTGTACAAAAGGGATAATGTAGCTACGCAGCGAACAAGCGTGGCTCTAAAGCGTTGAGTTCAGGTAATAAGTAGGTGAGCCTAATAAGGCAAAAGCACGTTATGACCATCATAAAAACACAAGGCATAATCTCGCCGGAAGGTATACCCCGCCGGTCACATCCATTACCTTGAGGTTTACGTAGCCTTTACCACAGATGTTATCCATACCCAAAGCACGCCATCTCAACTAAGATGACTGCCCCCCTATCATTTGTTGGCCGAAAAAAGGAAAGTCAGTTCAGTAGATTGAATGACCTGAAAGACAGCTACAGCTACCTGGTCTCACTTAACGAAGGGGAGGAATGCATAGAGTGATTCACGGAGTATGCACGGATTGATTTACCTACTAGCAGCACTGGCTGGCCTACTTGTACGTAATAGAAGAGAAGTCGACGGAACGAACGAAGCGAAGTTCAGTCAAATTAGGGTACAAGACACTAACTAAGACATAAACAGCAGACTCCGGTTCGGCTGACTTTATTGCCGATTCAGCAACTTCTGTGGATTGAGCTTTAGACGGGATTGAGACGCCCGAAAGCAAAGACTTATGTGCTTATCCGTCTATGGTTTGATAGAACCAGGTAGTACTTGGCAAGATACTCCAACGGACTCGAGCTATACCATTAAGACAGAGAAAGGGATTGGACTTTAATTGGGATTCCTAACTCAGGGAGAATCCTATAAGCTAAAAAAGTCACACAAGGAAGCCTACTGGGTTCGTTTAGGAGACTAGCTAACTTTCCACGGGCATGAACAGCCTTGGCAGTAGATAGACGGATTAGGACTTTTTCCCACTGGGGTTGCGTTTTTTCGTGGCTTCAATAGCAGAAGAAAAGAAGTCCAATCAATGCAGCTTTCGTGGTTCCCAGCCTAAAGATCCTATCCTCTTGCTGCCGGAGCTGTTGATGGCACGGGCAAGCCAGTTCATGAATGAATGGCGAGTTTTCTATTTACTATCAGATCTTTCCAGCGAAGGAAGCTTCTTTTAGAAGGCCTTGAATATTATTGCTACCGGTGGGGAAGGAATCAACGGCATCGAATGCAAGCTCTGAGAAAGTTTGATTCTTATTGTTGGACTACAACGACCTCACTAAGATTCTTATACTCCTCTTCTCAATTACATTGATCCTGGTTAGGTAATTTATTCCATCACAAAATCGGTTCCAGCAGCCCCTCCGCGAATCCATCCAGACTGTAAGCTACCAGTATCCAGAACCCACACAGGGCACTGTTGGTAGGTCCAATTTGCACCAAGGTCATAACACTTCCAAAGAATTCCAAAGCGGATTAATATCATATACCTCTTTAGGCTTCCATGAGGTCTGCCCATTAAATTAAGGGCTGATTGAAGAAATCGGATAGATTCACATCCCGCTTCATCTTAAGAAGATGATACTCCTTGATCCACCGGAGCCACAGCAGCATCCACTGATACAACACTCTCCAGGTGCTCACGTTGCGCATCTGTGACCATGGCATCCGGGAACATAGAAAGTTGTTCTGGTTCAAGTTCCGCGAATAAGCACTCAACTATTCTTCCCCTCAGGTAGGGATTGAGAGGCTTTCCTCTTCCAATCCACCACTTTAAAGGTAGTTTCCGTTCCTTGCTTCAGAAACCCCCGCTTCAATAGATACATCAGTACCAAGAAACTTGAGAAAAACAAAATGGTAATACCGGCTAATTTAAATAGCAGGATATCAAAGAGCAACTAGCAGCCTCCTTCCCCCTTTGCTGCCCATCTTGACTGAACTTCGCTTCGTTTGTTGGGTCGATTACATTGAGCTAAATGTGCGGAGCTGTCGTCCCGCTTATGAATACCAGCTTCTTTCACTCTTTATGTCGGATGGTACTTGGTTGTTCCCTAAAGCATTTCCCCTTCGCCCCTTGGCTTCGTTCAATCAAAAGCATTTCTCGCCCGGCCCTTCTATTGAAAATTCGGTATGAAGTCATAGATGCGCCTTTCGACTGGCATTCACTCTTCCAACACCAACTGATTCAATTGAGAACATCACAGCTGATACGACAAGACCGGTTCAAAAAAATAGCGTATTCGGCTTGAGACTGCACGGTATAGCAATTGTGCTTCTTGTATCGGTTCTTAGCCGAAACACAAGCATTGTATTCATTCAAGGTTTTTTCTGCTTCTTTAGACCAAGTACTTTTTCTTCTTGGTTCAGTAATCAATATCCACAGACAGGGAAATGTGAGCTAGAAACCGTTCATCAAGATGATGAACTGAATCCTTGCCAAATCAAAACTTGGCACAGTGCTATACGTCCTAGTTTACAAGAAAAGAATATATGTACACAAAAGAACAGGAGAACGAAGTGAGTCTCGACCAAAAGGAGAGAAGAAGAAGTGAGACTAACAGAACGAAGCGAAGCGAAGTTCAGTCAGAAGTATTACAGAGATCCTTAGATTATCAATTGCGTGGTTCGTACTTACCGAAAACTCCATTTTCAGTTGACTGGCACTTTCTTTGATATTTCATAGATCCTACTTCATCCTTCCCACTCCCTATTTATTTCCCTACTGAGCGGGGCTAAGCAAAGAGATGATAAAGGTAATCGCACATAGAATACGGGGAAAGGGAACTACAATGGAGACTGACCCCTATTCCACTACGGAGATTGAGTTACCTGTCTTCGAACAGAACCTAAACTGGCTCGCTAGCCCAATGAATGAAGCTGAAGCAACCTCTTATTCCCTATTCATATTCTTTCTCTTTCACACTTCCTCCAATTCATATTCAATATTCGTACTTTCCGGGTGAGCAGCTAGATAGACAAGCTAAAGCTTTCCTGGTTTTTCCGAACCCCACTACTAGCTCTATTTGATTTGAAGTAAGATCTTTACCTTGATTCGAACTTCTATGACTGAACTTCGCTTCGCTTCGTTTGTACCCTAAAAGAAAGAAAAAAGGCAGGAAAGGCAGGAGGGTGAAGACGAAGTCGTCAGATGATGCCTAAGGCGTGAAACCAAAGAGAAGAAGTTCCTACAAATGCCCACTCTCCTTCTCACAGGCTGAGGAGACTGGCTAGCCTACCTATCCTGAGCAGAGATGGAGCAACTAGTGCTCAACTTCTGTCTTTGACTGAAGGTAGCTTGCTTACTCAAAAGAGAGTAATGCTTTAAGGAGGTCGGGAATCTAAGACGATACGAATTCTGCCGGCTATGATGATCCCTAAGAAAGAGTTCCGTGCGCCTAAGAGGAATGGTTTCCGAGCCTTGAAGTCGAGTCAATTTCACCTTCCCTCGTACTACTCTGTCCCGAAGAATAACTAGGGGCTAGCTTCTCAATTTCAAAAGTGAGTCAGAATAAGGAAGAATGATTCTGATCGAAGCTACTGAAGCGAAGAGAAGAGGTTTTAAAAGTAGGGTTTGTTTAGCTACACCTGCTACGAAGCTTATATCGTTCGGGCTTGCTACGAGCTACTGATCGAGAACCCCTTCTTGGTTTACCAGGAAAGTCATACTTTAAGGCTGCTCTCTACGGACTGTGAAGCTCACCCGAGGTCAAGAGCTACCTTTCAGACAAGGATAACAAAGAAATGACATATATAATAGTCAGCCGATTTGCCGACTAAATCAGACTATTCGCCGACACCCTCTCCCCAACTCTAGTAAGGAGAGCTGATTAGGAGTCGCATTTCAAGATGATAAACTGATAGAACAGGTCCGGGTCGATCTCCTCTGCGGGCAGCTATCAATTACACTTTGCTTGCACTTATCCCTAAAGTGGGTGGCAGGACCTACTAAGGTATCCGAGACTAGCACCTATGAGATCGCTTGCACCGGCTTTGGACAGGGTCCGACGTAGGTTAGTAGACTCAAACTCTTGAAGCTGGTTTTCTGACACGAGGTTCGATGTAATTGACGAAGCGAAGTTCAGTCATAGAAGTTTCGCAATACTTCCTGTCTCCCAAGCCACTAGGTTCAAGATTCCATTTTCTTGCTATCAGATCGAGGTTATGATCTTACGGGTCTATCCCCATTTTCCTATGTTCTAAGACCTTTTGTTTTATTCCGTTTGCGGCTCCCGCATCAAGTGCTTCAGTTCTGTTCTATTCATTGGCGATTGCTTTCTTAGTATGGCACTGTCAACTGGTGTTTTAGAATATATAAATGTAGATGGAGAGGGGGCTTTTACAATCTCATTTTATTGGGTGTCGGGTCAAGTTACAGCAACCGATGCTTTTCTTTCAATTGCGTGCTTGCTGCTAAATATTGCGGTCGGTTTGACCTACTATTGGATTTGAACCAATGACTCTCGCCGTATGAAAGCGAGACTCTAACCAAACAAACTTTTCGAAGCGAAGTTCAGTCATAGAGGAAGTAGGGCTCACGCATTTATGCTATGCGGACGACCTGTTCATCTTTTCGAAGGCCTCCATTCAGTCTCTGACGACTATTCAGGAAGTACTACAGCATTTTGGTGAATCTTCCGGTTTGTGGGCTAATCAGGGCAAAAGCTCTATTTACTTTGGAGGTACTGACGTCCATACTCGCTTGGCTATATCACAGTTACTGGGCTTTCAGGAGGGGAGCTTACCGGTAAGATATCTGGGTGTCCCCCTCACCTCGAGATCTCTCAAAGTGACGGACTTTCTACCTCTTATTGAGAGGTTGACGGCTCGGTTGACTTGTTGGACTTCTCGTTTTTTGTCTTATGCAGGTCGTCTAGTATTGGTCAAATCAGTAATGCAGGCTATGCAGAATTACTGGAGCCGGATTTTCCTTTTTCCGAAGGCGGTGTGGCGGACTATTGAGTCATTATGCAGGAGATTTCTTTGGACTGGAAAGGAAATGGCGAAGTACGTAAATCGACTCCCGTCCAGACGTTAGAACAAAAAAGAATGAATAAGGGACTGACTTCTTTTTTTACAAGGATCCTGAAGAAATCGCACACATGCTCCCAGGACTTCACGAAAAGAGGAGGCACGCAGGTAGATATACCAATAGAAAGCACCGCGGGTAAGCGACGAGGTAAATAACAAGTTTTTGTTTCCAGAAGTATCCCCACGCTGAGCGATGAACCTCGCCAAATGCTCTTATGGATCACCCATTCCATCTTTTAGGTTCAATTTGGGCAAGATGTATCCCGCTGGTTATGGCTCGTAGTAACCTCTGTAAGATTAAGATAAGGAGGATAATAGGGTAGGTAACCTTTTCACCATTCTTTGATTTTATAATGGTACCTTCAAGTAATCAGGTCTCTTCATCCTTATCGGGCACCCACACAAGAGAGAATTCTTCCTTTTTAGCCTCTGAGAGAGGATACTCCAACAAGAAGAGCCTAACCAGGCCCTTGAGATAGATAAGAGCCCATAGGGTAGCCCTTACAGAGATAAAATGAAAGGCCTTCATCGGAATACCGGAGTCGCTCGTATATGGCGATCACAAGCTCAGAGCCAGAATCTAGTGGAGCTTCCTTACCGCTACAGAAGAACTGAATTGCGCGGGGACACCAGATATAGGATATTTCGAACCAGCTAACAGACCTACTCAATGATCTTTCTCATTCTGATCCTTTGAAGTCCCGTATGGACCCTTATCCATTATCCATTAAGGATATTTAATCTCTTGTGCCATCTTCGCATAGCAAAGTTCCTATGTTCAGTTATGAAAGAAGGCGTGACGAGCTATGGTCCGAGAAAGGAGAGGCTTAGATCTTGTCAGTTTAGAACACCCAATCCCATGGTATCGTAATAAGATCGCCGCTCAGACAAGAAATATCTTAAATAAAGATAGACTTCCATTTCTTCAGTTCGGTCTTACCGACGGATGTAGGACCCTTTTCGACGGCTAGAAGGACCACGCTACGATCCATATACTCCTAGGCTTTAAGGCTTTACCCTTGGCAGGAATACAGGGACGGGAAGAATGCATTCTAGAGAAAGAAGTCAAATAGAGTTTTTTCAAAGAAAACGATCCAATAAGATAGCTTATTATTAGAGAAAGGGGCTTGAGCCAGGCATTTCACTGGGAGAGAGAACTATTGGGAGCTCTTTTGCCCTAAATACTTACCTGATGTGTCAGCAAGACCAAAGAAAGGGGTAGCCCTTGCTTAGCCACGCAATTTTGCTTATATATAAATGAAATGACATGTGAAATATACTATTTCAAAACTTGTTTGGCATCTGCTGCTTGAGATTCAGATCGTGATTGAGTTGTCATGCCTACTCTCATCTGAGAAGGAGATAGCCAGACGGGAACCTCCTTCTACCGATAAGGCGAACGGCTGGCCAATTCAATGCTTCTTACAGATCAGAGTGTCCCTCTTACAGAAGGCAAGATTTTCCGGAGATCGGACGGCACACCATCGTTACCCTCTACCGTGGATAGCCCAACTCCCGATGCGTTTGAAGCAAGCATTCGTATTCCCGCAGTCTATGATCCGTCACTTCCGGGCGCCAGGCTCTTTCCAAGGTCAGTCTCGATGTATCGCAACTACGTCAACCATGTGTGCTTTCCCTTCATCGAAGCTTGGGTATCGAAGGAAGCAGGGAACGGCATCTTAGGTTTATTCGGCCAGGGGCTCTTATGTGGCAAAATCCATAATCTGTGTACTATTTACTACACTTTGAATGGCATTTTTGTTTTTGTTCATATCGATCGGATCGGGTTTGAGTCAGAATATATCTTGTATGCTGCGACTTGCGATTTGCAGCTACTCTTTGATGAAAGCATGATGACTCGTGATTCCCCGGGACAAGCCCTCTGTAGAGTCTTTGTATGGTCGAAGCCATAAAACCATCATTACTTCGTGCTGAATTGCTTTCTTCGATTTGATTGATTCCGCTTTGTTGCCTTCAACAGTCTGATGAGTTTCTTCATCTGTCGAACATGATGAATGAAGGCCTCCTTTGTGTGTTGTAAGCATCGAGTCAAAGAACCTTTGCATTACCTCCCCTTCTTTCTCTTTTCTTTTTTTAGCCTTGCTTGTTTTCCTGTTCCGATTCCTAATATTCCTATTGCGAAAGACTCAATTACATCGAACCTGCGCGTGGAGCCACCACTCCCTTCCTAGGGTAAACATTGAATGCTAGCTGGGCTCGTCACTTCGGCAGGAGAAGGAGTCTTTGATCCGAAGAAGAGAAGTCCAATCTATAGTAGTAGATGTATTTTATATCTTCTTCTCTGTCTCCTGGTCTTTGCCTTGACTTCACTTCGCTTCGTTTTTAGAGTCTCACTTTGCTCTCCTCTCCTTTCGCGTCGAGCATATGTTATAACCTTTCCTTCACTTCGCTTCGCCAATACTTCTGACTTCACTGCGCTTCGCTTTGTTCTATTTTCCTGACTGAACTTCCCTTTGTGTAGTCTTATCTTAGCTTCCTTGTTTCTACACTTCGCTTCGCTTCGTTCGTTGGATCGACTCTTCTTCTCATGGACTCAAAAAGATAGGTTAGCGACCGGGCGAAAGGTTGGAATTTCTTTTTCAGGGCTTGGGGTCCTATTCCCATACTTGGGTGATCGGATAACTATCTCAGTGCTTGCCCAAAAGGAGAGATTGGCCACGGCCCGCTGCGGGTACACTAAGTAAGCGACCCACTCTACTCTATCATTCAATCGTGACAGCCTGCCTTTCCACAAAGATCCCAATCCCAAGAAAGAAAGTAGGAATATTGGCTTGGTCCATCCCTTCGTGGAGCACAAACAAGATCTATAAGCAAATAGATTAATTCAAGGGCGACGAGACCAAGGAGCTGCTTCAAAGCCCGATGCAATTCAAATTCTTAGTCATTCGCTCCCAAACCAAAATAGGGTATTCCCCCGCCTCTCCTTCCCTATTTCTTTGGTATTTCTACCGCACCAGGAGCTGAAAGCGGTTCAAGATGAGATCTTTTGGTTTTGGCTCACCCAGGTTTTAAGAATCCTTCCACACCTGGGCAGACCCGAGCATGGCCTAAAAGTAATAGTTCTCCGTTGTCGAGGTTGCTTGCAGAGAGATGGAAGAACGTCAGTCCTTGGCCTGGCTAGCGGTGAATTCATTATCATTGTGCTTCGGAGACTACTTAAGAGAGCCCCGCCTCGGGATAAAGAGATAATATGGTACCACAAGCATAGAAAAAGAAAAATGAGTGAATTCCACATCCTGCTATTCCACAGTACATTATTCATTAGTGTGAGTCAACGGATAAAGCTCCTCAATTTGATGCTACACCTGTGGGAGTTGGGTCAATTACTCTATTCTATGTCTTTCTCTGATATAGCGAATAATAAGGGAAGATTTCACTGCGAATGACCGGGAAACGTAACTATGATTCATTCTGTGTTTGGTCTCTTTCTGACTAAGCTACCGAAGAAGTCTCGCTATCAGATCTCTTTCAGATCCTTGTATACAATGTTCTCAGATGTACGGGGTGGATCACTAATTCGATCTCGGAATGCATTCATCAATTTTCTCCTTTCTGACACTTGCGCTACCGCTAGCTAGCTTAATGAGGGGAAATGACAATCTACATATGAAAGAAAAAATTCGATGTTCGGGCAGACATCAATGTCTGGTAAGATAAGGTGGTTCACCCAAGCCAACATGCTTATCCTTTCACTTGGAAGAATTCTTTATAGGTAACTATCGAAATAATGGGCCGGTGAGTGGGGAAGGAAAAGGTAGGCTTAGAACCAGCTCTAGCAAGAGAGCGAAAAAGGGAGGTAGGTCACACAGTATAGCTAGAGAAGCTAGCTTTGAAACATATGGAAGGAATCCCCGTCCTTTAGAAAGATATGCCCGCCCCCCTCTCAACACTCTAATAGACTGGTGACTAAGAGACTCTCTTCAAGTGGAGTGAAGCCAGCACGCGGTACACAGCATAAGGGGGACGAAATCAATCCAAGTAGTGGGGAAGCCGGCCAATCAACCATGTAGACACAGAAAAGATAGCAAACTAGCTCATCAGTACAGCTAATTGATTCGTTAGGTGACATGAGTTACACAAGCTAATAGGAAATCGGCACGTACCTCGCTTTCTTTCTTCTTCTGGTTAAGTCAATAAAGCTAACTGCTGCTTTGCTTTTAAACTATACTGATTTAGTGGGCGGTAGTTGGAAGCACAGTACGGGCAGAAGCAATCCCCAAGCATCATTTTAGAGCTCATTAGTCTTAGTGTGAAACCCAAGAAAAAGGGGAATAGGTCAGTCTATATAGGGAAACGGGGGGCAGTTAGCCCGGTCGATAGATGCGGTGCTGAAGTCGCACTTCTCTTAATGAGTCTGTCGTAAGACTTGCTAACAAGGAGTATATTCGAAGGTCAGTAACAAAGGCCACGCCCAGTAGTTAAGGCTAAATTTCAGAGAGGGTACAAACGAAGCGAAGTGGAGTAGAAGAAGAAGTAGGGAATAATGCCCACGGACTGATGTTGTGCTGAAGATGATGTGATGGCCTTTTAGTCCTTATAGTCTGTGGTCTTTAGCAGTCAGCATTTGTCCAACGGATCGGCTTTGGTCGCCTTATCTCTATATTTCCCTCCCTTCTTTATCGGTGAATCGCTTGTAATTGAGACTCGCTCTCGTCACTTCTCTTTAATCCGTTCTACTCGACTTGGAAAAAACGTACCAATTACACCAGGACTTCACTTCGCTTCGCTTCGTTTGTTTCCTTTCAGTCGAGTCTCGCTTTGCTCTCCTCGATCAAAAGGCCAGTTTCGGTTGCTTTTATTCGGCTTTCTATTTCATATTCACCGAGAAAGATCCTTCTTTGCCAAGAAGTTAGTAACGCTGTTTTCCAGCTAGTATCAATCTGATCTGCTTTCATTTCAAGCCTGAGTCTTTTAAGCAAGTTTCTAGTCTCATACCTGTAATCGCATATTACCAGTAGCTCGTGTACATTATGTTTTTTATTGGGAGTGTAGTAATCTTTCTTACTTTCGTCCAGTACAGCAAAGCCTCTCTCTTTTTACCGGGTAAAGAGAAAGGAGCGAAGCATATGTATCCGCGCTAGCGTAGCGGCACTTACATACGCAATTTTTTTATTACATTATTTATGAAACGGGAGTTCACGGATGCTTTTTTCTCATCGTGTAGCCGGAGAATTCGAATACCACTACATCCTTCCCATTGATGCGGAGACGAGTGAAATAAATGGATCCGTTTAAGATTAAGAATCTGGTGGTAAGCTAAGCAAAAAATCCCAGGTTTCTTGAAAGGAGGTCGACCCTAAGAACGAAGCGAAGCGAAGTTCAGTCATAAGTAGTATGCGCACTTCCATAGCTTAAATCCGGGTACGTATCTATGAACTTAGTATCGAGTATTGGCATCCGTCAGTTATTTTGGCCATTCCTCGGCCACTTGTCGTAAGAATCCAAATAAGCAGCAAGATAAACCGAAAGGTGATGATGGAGATGGAAACTCAAAGCGTAGCAACGCTAAGAAGCCTGTGGTCTATCGTGAAAAACAAACTTCCAAGGATAAGGAAAAGGTGACTGATTCTTCGGACATGCCGATTAAGAACTCATTTTCTCAATTATATCGAGCCAACGAACTTTTCGAAGCGAAGTTCAGTCATAGAGGAAGTCAGCCAATCAATCTTATGAGGGTCGGATCTCACCTTACTAGACGAAGGAAAGTCAGAAGGTCAATTACACCAGGACTTCACTTCGCTTCGCTTCGTTTGTATGGTCGAGTATCTGAAAACCTGAGCCGAGGTTGGAATCGATTTATCGACGACTCTCTCCTACATCTGATCGAAACGTCTGGTCATTTTTTTCATAGTAAGGGGCGGAGCGATCATCAATCTGTCTCGCTATACAGGGCGATATGTACAGTTTCCTCTTTTTCTTGCATTTATGTAGATGTCACTTTCTGGTGCTGTGACTTCTGTAAGCCCTACATGAAGCGGCTAAAGCGTGAGTCTCTACTGCTCCGAAAACAAAGGATGAAGAGAGGTAGACAGTAAATGGGGTCTCACAGAGTCAAATAGTTCCGGCGTCAGAAGGGTACGCAAGGAAGAAAGTAGTAGAGTCATCTTCATGTGCATCTGATTCGTTCACAAGAGAAGAACCTAGGCTCGATGTAATTGACGATACAAACGAAGCGAAGCGAAGTGAAGTCCTGGCAACAAGCTATGACTGATTCAATGGAGAAAGCAATGCCCTTTCATCCGTGATAACCCGAGGATGACCTACAGCACTAGTGGTTATTGCCCTCCCATCTCGCACCTTTCTTATGCGGATGACATCATTATCTTCACCCGTGCGAATAATGACGGTCGAGGCACCTCCTGGAGCACTATGGCTCGGTCACTGGCCAGCTCGTCAGCGTGCAGAAGAGCTCCTTCATCCTTTCTCCTCCCCATTGCGGATCGGTGGGCGCAGTGGGTCCACGAGCGCACTGGTTTCGCGCGTGGCGACCTCCCCATCACCTACCTCGGCGCCCCTCTGTACAAGGGCCATCTCAAGAATGCGTTCTTTGCAGATGTCAGGCAGAGGATGATTGACCGGCTCTCCGGCTGGTCACATAGACATCTTTCTTTTGGGGGTCGGCTTGCGCTGATCAAGAGCACCCTCAGCGTCCTCCCGCTTCATCTCAATTGCATCTCAATTACATCGACCCTGGTCGTATTCAAAGGATCTCTCAAGACCTTCTTCTGGTATCACAGCCTATTCTATCCTCCTCAACCTCTTCCGGGTTCAATCCATTGCCAACTACCCTCTCCCACTTACTCCCATAAAGTAGCTTGCTCTCTGTCACCACTGTCGAGTCAGAAGGGGCTTCCTTGAAGCTTCGCTGCCTTTGCTTTCGCTGGATCCGAAAAGACAATCGTAGAGAAAAGATTCTTCCGGATGTTCAAATCGGGATTTCATAAACCAAGAGCCAGAGCAGTTGAAATCAAAATATCCGTCTTAGTACTCAGTCTGTACACTAAAGGTAGAATTCTGTACTGAGTATACGTATCGGTTTTTAGACCAGAGTGGGACCTGAAGAAAGAAAAAGATCAATCTCCATCTGTCAAGGAGAAGGCATGGAGAACATAAGGACCAAATGGTCGAATGAGGAGTAGGGGGAAATATTCCTTTCCTTCACTGCGCTTCGCTTCGTTCGTTGGGTAAAGTCAATAGCTTTTCTTTCTTACACGGCTGGTTCCGGGAAAGTAGATGCTTTAGAAGGGGAAAAGGTAGAAGCGAAGAAAGGTGAAAGGATAGTACCACCAAAGGCTTAAGCAAATCTTCTATCGGCTATCCAACTCCCACTCTTCCCTTATCTTATCTATTTGATTACCCCCTATTGGCTTATGTGTTTTTGGAACAAGAGCACGCCTAATTTCTGTCTGAAGTGAAGGAATGGTTAGCATAACAATGAATGATGTTCTTTCCCTAACCAATTTTAGCCCAAACTGGCATTGAACTATCTGCACTTGAAGCTTCTTCATCTCGTGCTTGCCTAAGGCTCCTAAAAGGAGTCTCAATACCATCACATGAATCGTAGGATTTCTTCTTCCGGACAGAAGCCGGTTCTTTCTAGGGTAAGCGCTTCTCCGATTCTTCTTTTTCGCATAATCAGTTGTGTCGCAAGATCTGCTGTTTATCAATTGAGTGATGAAAGGGGGCTTCCTGATCTGCTTGCCCTTAAGTCCTCTTAGCCGACCGTTAGCTTACGAATAGAAGCTCTTGTAGCTAGGTGTGGACGGAAAGCTAATATGATTACCGCGACCAAAAGGTCTCCTTATTCCTGGGTTGGGACGAGAGTTTTCGTTCGCGCCCGAGAAGCGCTTCACTCGCACTGCTTGACAGAAAGAGGGGACTTAGAACATCTCTTTTTACCATAGGTGGTGAATTGATGATACCATGTTCGATACACTGATAACCAATCCAATCGGAAACCTTAATTCGAGAGATCAAAGACGCTAGGATCGAGCAATCACGCCTTCTCTTACAGGGAAAGTTCCGCTCCAAAGGCTGAAAATTGACGCTTTCTTGAATGCCTTTCCCCAGGTCCTATCGAACCAGACACTGAATACCACTTGCATCGGTTACTCAAGGAGTTCGGTTCCTTTTTTTAATAAATCCTTCCGCCTCTTTCCGGAGCCTATTGGAGGAAGTGGGAACAGTTCTTCTTTCATTTTGCTACCAGTGCACTAGGGATAGTTTTCAAGTAGCCTATGGAGTAAGAGGAGGGGTGAAGGGCTTCGTTTACCTCAGTGTAAGTATCTATAGGCTTAATCCATTTTGAATTTCATAAAAAAAAGTAACAAGAAAAAGCACCCACGGAGTGGTGGGAAAGCAAGGTCTTCAAGGAAGAAGAAGTCAAATAGCGTCAATTACATCGAACCTCCTCAGATGAGGCTTAAGTTCAGCTAGCCCTAGACAGATCACATCTCATTAGAAAGGCAGGCATTTCATTATCATTAGAAAAGGGCATCCCATTAGAAAGAATTGAATTAGCTAAGTCAGTGTCAGTAAGAATGACTGGGGGGCCCCGGAGAAGGCACAATACATTCTTAGATTCGACCGGTCAAAGCATTGATTCTAAGCCTTTCCTGACTAGCAAGTGGAGGATCATTCCAGTCTCTGATGGCGTAGCTTCTATGACTTCACTTCGCTTCGTTTGTTCCCTGTCGATGAAGAATGTTTCGAAAGCAGCCTAAAAGCATTGACGAAGAGAGGAGACCCAAGGGGAGCTGGAAGACTCTCACAAGTGTTGTTCTTTGATTTCCCCTGGTTAAGAACTATGGAACCATCGACGAGTTCGTTCAGGAACGAGAGACTATCCCAGCCCTGCTCCTTGACATAACAGGGTTTCGGTCCCATATCTTCTTGCCATAGAGGTCGAAGCTTCTTTTCCTGTTCCCAGGAGTGAACATAGGTGGGCGTTAGCTAGTGGCTTCAACTAACCACCTGAGTAAGAAAGGAATAGATTTACGCAAATAGAGAATCTACCCATTTCGGTCAAGTTCTCTCTAATCCAATAGAGAGAGTCCCTTCCTCGATCCAATATGATAGGAAAATGGGTACTCAGTCGATTTTGACTTCACTTCGCTTCGAAAAGTTTGTTGAGTCAGCTGGATATTCTGCAAATTATCTTCTTGTTGAAAGGGGCGCTAACGCTTACCCATTTTATTAACAAAAACAGGAATGTGAGCTTACTACCGATTGAAGTCGATGGGCAGGGATTGTTTTCATGACCCGAAGAAACTATGCAATATGACAATTACAGTCCGCTTTTTCAATCAATCAGGTCCAGCACCATTTTGGCATCGATCTCGCATACTACCTTTCGTCATCCTCTCCCCCATGCCAACTCTAGCCCCTGCCTTAGTCCTTGTAGCTCTGCCACTGTATTCGAACCCCAGATGGAGCATAACGTTATCCACCCTCCCATTCTCATCTCGGATTAACTCACCGGCACCGGCAATCCCCGGCCATGGCTGCACCATCAGTATGAATTTTGACATAACCCGACGATGGTTGTTCCCATGCAATGAGCATGTTTACCACTGTCCTAGCCCCCTTTCGGTACAAAGGCTTGATTGAGTTCTCGAACTGAGGCCTCCACCATACGCAACAGTTCCTCTCCATCCATGACTTTCTCCGCAGGATTCAAAATACCACCACACCTCCTTTTCCAAATTAGCCACACCCCTGCCATAAATATACGCGAACAAGTACATTGCAATGAAGGGTAAAGATCAATGCTCTTCAGATTTCCTGTAAACCAAAGTACAAGCAATCGAATAGTAAGTTAGTTCATGCCAGCTCTCCAGTTCGAAGAGCAGGCATGTCATGTCCTTTAAAAGAATCTTCATACCGTGAGGGTCGATGTAATTGAGGTGAAGATGTCCCAGATCTCTGCTATCAAAGGAATCGTTTGCTGTTGGTATGCCCTTACTATCGCTTCAGCGGATTCTCACCCGAGAGACACAAGCTAACTTTCCCAATAGAATAGTCCCGAGCTTACTGGACTAGGATTTCTTTCAAACTGACTCAATTGGCGTATACGTGTCCGTAAAGCGCAGTTCTTATTTCAGTTAATGGCTCTACTCGTATGCAGGAAAAAGATGCATTGGGCAGGTTCGATGTAATTGATGACTTACAAGGTACAAACTTTTCGAAGCGAAGTTCAGTCATAGAGCATTCATTCATCAATCAAAGATTGACTCTTCCCTGTCCTAGGTGTGGACGAAGGCCGAGACTTCTCTAAGATCCGATTCGATGGTAGTTGTTAACTTTATCTTCTATTGTTCTTAGACGGATCTCTCACTCTTGATTCACTTGTTGACTGCAGCAACCTACTATCTATTAAACTAAGTAGACTTATCCGTATTACTGGTTTTTTCCTTTCCCACTTCTGCTTTCCTCACTCCCCGGCTTGCTAACATAAGAGCGCATTCGTTCACAGACGATTCTTGCCCCTCACCTTGGCTCGTTGGACTGAGACCGAGGAACTGCTATCGTGCTACTGGTTTGCTGGTTCGATGTAATTGACCTCTCTCTTCTTTCTTCACTCGAGTACTTCTATGTGCTGCTTTCCGAGGTACTCTCGCTTAACTGACAAAGAGACTGCAGACGATTCGTTGCAAGCGGATATGCGATATACAGCAGATCAGCGATAACCGATATGCGACGGAGATATTATTATAGGGGAGACTCCTCTGGCTTAAGCTTAAAGAGCTGGCTTGTAATAAAAGCACTCTCAGGGCTCTATACCTAGCTTTATTCCGATTCCGCTGCTTGCCATTTTCTAAATTACATCTATCCTGCAAGCTCTCATTTGCTTTTGCACGAGAATCCGCTATCCTGAGGAATTTCAAACTAGCCTACAACCTAAACGGCTTATGGTTGGTCTTACACTGACTTTCTCACCACCACTAGAAGCCCTTAATCTTTGTATTAAGGCTAGTACTGATATTAATGGAAGATAGAAAATGATAGAACTGATTGACTCAGATCGTTAGCTCGTAAGGGCATTATTGAGAGTCCACCAGTAATACCAATAGGAAGTGGGTTTCCACATAGCATGAAGAAGATATGAGATTTCCAGTATCTATAGAATAATAGTCTATGCAGCAGGACTCATATTTTCTTTCTCTTTTCCTTCACTTCGCTTCGTCAATTACATCGAGCCAATCGTTTTAGGAAAGTCGGCATTCTTAGTGGAAAGGAAAGGACTTATACCATGAACGGACTCTTTGCCTTGGGTCAATCAGTTCCTTGGCTTACTCATGACCACTTCGAGAAGAACCTATTTGAAAACAGTCTAATGCCACATCTGACTCAACAGCTCCTTCTTCCTTTTCTTCTTCATGTGCACAAGCCCTTCTTATATATGCAACCACTTCTTGAACAACCTATTCCTATTCATGCGACAACAGCACATTCTATGCCATCTTCCTTATACTCTTGATTAAACCAAGCGATTCGTGTTCAATTGCACAAGCCATTCTAAGGAAGATTAGACTGGCATCTGCCTTAGCCCTGTCTCCCTCCCTAGCTAATTGAATACCAGCTTCCTCTTATAAAGAGTCCCCGCATTCGTACTCTATTCCTAAGGCGATAGCTCTAGCGGAAACGCCAACTACTGAATTGGGCTTGGCACATTGAAAGTGAGAAACTGAACTTCGAGAAGTTGGCGTGAGATGATCAATCCTTCACCCGCCGATGAAACCTTTGTACATTTGGACTACCAACCAAAATAGTTTACAAACTTTGGCTTGATTACCCAACTTAGAAGCGAAGCGAAGTTCAGCTAAGCAATTTCTTGGTGACAGAACAGAACCCCCAAGAAGTTAGCCCAGCCGCGTCTCCACCCCCTGTTCGCCAAATGACAGCTTCATCATCTTCGAACTTTCTCTTTGAAGCGTCAGTGGCCAAAGAATCTGTGGAGGGAAAGCTTCTGCCAATGTTCGTCTTTCGTTTCATACGAGTTTTACCATTTCCGAAGTTCTTTTCAATTTCCATTTTCTTTTTCGATAATGAATTGTTTTGTTCCAAAGCCAGTTCCAGAGTGGAAAGCTCAGTAGAATATGCCATAAAGCTAAGCGAAGAACCAAGACAGCCAGCCAAGCCGCGTCCCGTGTTAGTATGCCATGCCCCGTTTTCACAACACAGTCAGATTGGGTGAGTTATTGTGGCCAAGCCAGCTAGCCTTAGTAGCAGCTCACCATGAAAGTCCCTCTTGCCTGTGCGTTCGGATGCGGATGTTGAGGGTCGATTACATTGAGCTTCCATTTCAATCTCATTTTCATGTAAAAAGTAGGGACTTCACTGCGCTTCGAAAAGTTTGTATGGTCGAGATCTTCAAACCTGAACTTCGCCAAGACTTTTGACTTTACTGCGCTTCGCTTCGTTCGTTCCTCGCTTTTGTTCAATTATAAAAAAATAAGCACTTTGATGGAGATTTGTAGCATCATTCAAGTAAATACAGATTGAGATCGTAGAAACATGAGCTTGTGATATAGCTACACCTAATTCCAGACCGGTTAATGCAAGAACTATAAATAAAGGACCAGGATCCCCTATGAAATAGAAAAGATCATTCATACATAGCATAGTCCAAGCGGACCCACTTAAAATCTTTACTGAACTATGACCGGCCATCATATTAGCAAATAAACGTATTCCTAAGCTTAATGCGCGAAAACAATGAGGGATTAGCTCAAGGAGTACTAAAAAAGGTGCTAACGGCAGTGGGACTCCTGCGGGTAATGAGAAGCTTAAAAAATGAAGCCCATTTTTTTGAAATCCCACTATAGTAATGCCAATAAAAAGAGAAAATGAGAGACCCAAAGTAATGAGAAAATGACTTGTAACTGTGAAGCTATAAGGTATCATACCCTGTAGATTACGAAATAACGAAAAAGTCAAAGTAACCGAGATGCAAGGGAAAAACTTTTGTTTAACATTTCCGGAAAGACCACCTATTTGTTCGTTTACCAGGTTCGGCACGAAATCATAAATAAGCTCTACCAAGGATTGCCAAGCATTTGGTACTGAGTTTCCTCCTCCCTTTTTAGTAACAAAATGAACAAAAAGTAGGACCAAACTGAGAGTGAGTAGCATAAACAAAGATGGATTTGTGAATGAGAAATACAAGTTTCCTATTTGAATAGGAATCAATGGGAGAATGGAAAATTGCTCAAGTGGGCTTCCCTGAAAATCGACCCACATTTGACTAGAGAAAAAACTATCTCCTTCCAGAGCCTTACTAGAATAATAATGAAACCTACTGGCGTACTCTTCGGAGAAATTCTTAATTGGGCTTTCGCGGCCGAAAGTTTGATAATACCAGTAAGGATAATTATAACACAAATTTGCGTACTCTCTATTCAATATTAAGTCTAGCTTAGCCGGGAGTTCTGCTACAGTAGTTTGGTTCAATTCCCGTTGTAGGTATTGTGTATAGCCCGCGTGTATGACCCCCCTGTCAAAATCATTGCGCACCATAACCAAGAAATGATTCAACTTGGTTAATTTGAAGATTGTGGGGAAGTCTGAAATTTCACCAGGGATGTGAACCACTCCGGAACAGAAGAAAGGAGAATCCAGCACATCGAAATTATGTTCAGTTAAATCTATCGGTATTCCATAAAGAATTTCTTGACTTGCTTCACAACCCCTAAACATGTCCATTTCTTTTTCTCTCTTATAAAACGAGTGTCGCTTCTCGCTCTATAAATGAGGGAAGACTTGTGGAAAGATATTTGCGTTGGTTTTTCCAACGGGACATTTCTTTCTCAGTTCAACAGAGATCCCTATGCATATTCAATCTTACTTATATAAGTAATTCTCGAGAGGAACGAACGAAGCGAAGTCATAGAAGCGAAGTGAAGTAATTGACCTTGACGGCCTAGGGTATTACTTTCTTTCCCCACCTCTCGACGAATACCTAAGATTTTAAAGGAGTGAGAGGCTAGTGCGGAGAACGCTAAAAGAATATTAGGGAGAGACACAGCATCCCCCCGCCCTTGGGAAATTGGTGCTCGACCGATAGGGAGAGGAAGGAGCGGTAGCTTCTGGTGATTCCATTTCGCTCAAGAGTGGCAATTTCTTTCCGAGTCACTTTTCAGTTTCAGAAAGCTAGGTCCGGAAGGTGCACAGGAATATCAATCGTTACTTTCTGATAAAAAGCTAGAAACCCAGGTGGAGACTTAAATGCAAGAATGTAAGCAGGTACTTTTACGCTTAGCCTTTCTTTTTCTTTGGCCTCCCGACTGCGGATGTGCTTTCCCCCCCTGCTAGCCAAAAACCTGTCAGCCCGCCCAGGGCGCTCGCCGAATAGTATGTTCTTTGTACAGCCGCATTTCTCGAGCCCCAACCCTTCGCGTTCGCCGAGAAGAAAGAAGGACGAGGACGCCGACGAAAATCCAGCTTGATCACCTTTTGCACTTTAGCTTAAGTGATCTGGACTTTCTTTAAGAAAGGAAGGATTGATCACAGGACTTCACTGCGCTTCGAAAAGTTTGTTTGGTCGAGCGTTAAAAAGGCAACCTGTAGAAGGGCTTATTCGATAGCTTAAGAGAAGATCTTCTAGTAAGATGGGACTGCCATTTTCTTAGTATGACGAAAGGCTCGATGTAATTGACCTGCTAAAATCTATGTGAACAACTAGGAGCCCTTCTTTCATTTAGCGATTACTAAGGATCGATTGCTAAGAGCACTTTTCGATCAGCTAGCTTATTCTACAACTTCCACTTCTTCCTAAGCTCTTCTAAGAAAGCGGATCTCCTTCATCTTCTTCTTAAGCACTTCCCGCTTGTGGCAATGTCATGCGATTTTCCTTTTTTTAGTGGGCCATATGAAGAAAGAGGTCCAGTCGACCTTCTTTCTCCTGCAGGCCAGAATCCCCATTTTGAGTTCTCTAGTGGAGGGGAGCCAGTGACAGTGCCGGGGAATAGAAAGATGGGTCCCCCCAACGCCTAAGGCATTTTCGGGGAATAGCCCTCCTCTACTTTCTTATGTTCAAAAGGTCCTTGCTTTAGAAGAGAAAAAGTCGATCAGAATACGAATAAGATCAGAAATGCCATCATTAGGGCAAAGAGGGCAATTGCCTCATCAATTACATCGAACCTAAAATTGCATATCCGAATAATTGTTTTGCTAAGGCGCGCTACGGAATGAATCAAAGAACTGAAGACATGTCCAATACCGACAGCAGCTCCCGCTAAAGCAATAGTAGCTGCTCCAGCCCCGATTCATTTTGCACCTTCTAAAATTTTCTTTTTCGTTTTGATTCTCCTTTCAGATTCACGATTTTCTTATTTTCCATTCCAATTCATATGGGCGTCTTTCTCCGCTGGATCGAATGTCAGGGAACCTTTTCTAGTTGTCTTTTGTATGACTGTACTAATAGATTCAAAAGATGAACTCAATAGTAAGAAGATTACATAGGGAAAACCCAATCGCAGGGAAGGCAGAAACTTTCACTCCCCCTGACAAAGGCTCTGGCTTTCAGGCAACTCGAGCTGATGATAGAACGGACTTCTCTAAGGTCTCCTAAATTCTATGACTTCACTTCGCTTCGAAAAGTTTGTACCTCCCATCTTCTTAGGTTTGCAGACATTTTCCCAATTGACTAAGTGGACAGCCCTTCTCTCATCGGTGCCGCCTCTCTCCTTGACGTCGAGCTTCTCCGCACCTCGGCAATTCTTTCAGAGGACTGACTAAAGTGAGGATAGGGATTAAGCACCAAGGTGCTAGGCATCCTGTTGGAAAGGTCGGAGAAATAACATCTCCGCTGTTAGAAACTCTAACTTCCTCCATTGGGGGAGTCGTATATAAGATTATGGTCTTCATTGCCATCCTCTTTCGAAGAGCCACTATCATCTCAGAAGGTGGGTGTTCTTGAGGAAGTACCCCTGGACTAGTATTAGTAAGTGGCGTTGGTACATTCTGCACATTTGCCTGGCTGTTCAAAGAGAAGGCTCCAGGAATCTCTCTTACCCCTTACTTTGACTTTGAAGTGTTTAAATTGGGCTCTAATTGAAACCCAAGAGAAGGACTTCTTGACTGAACTTCGTTCGATGTAATTGACCTCAAATCAAAAAAAAGAAGAAGCCAACAAAATGACCATCATTTAAATGGGCTTTACCCGTATGCTACAAACTTGCTTGGGGTATTGACCCACCCAACATGGTGATTCTTACCCGAGCCCTCCTTCCCCGTCTGTATTGATTCTTCGTGTTCAAATTTGCACTAGCCTTATCTTTAACTTTCCCAACGTGTTCCTGATTTTTAGGAGGAGTGGAATGGAGTGATCAATAAAGACAGTAGCCGCTTAGCCTCGTCCGAACCACTAAAGGAAGCCGAATTAGTCCTTTTAACTTCACCGCTTTGCGGCGATGTAGGTTAATAGTAGTTCTATTCCTGCTAATTCTCCACTAGGGGCAAAGAGGACGGTAAAACGACTTATTAGTGTCGGAAAGTTGGACCTTTGCTTGAGGTCTGCAAGTTGATCGCTAAGAGGGTAAAGCCTCCCCCCCCTGCGGATAACGATTAGTAGGACTTATTATCCGTTTATTGTCAGACCTCGGACACGTTAAAGTGTGTCATTTATATTGAGGAGTTGAATACGATCTATGAAAAAGTTTCGTTTAGGCTAACTAGCGGATCAAGAGCTGCCATATTCAGAGACCCTCCTGGGGCAGGCGTCTCAATCTTTCTGCCAACCAAGAATAGACAGGATGAAACAATCTCTGATTGACATAGTTACCTATGGTTCTCTTTCAGATCCTCTTGCCACCTCTCTCTAACGAGAAAGCAAGACGGCCTATCACAGGTGGTACAATCATCACACGAAGCTAGGACCGGACCTATAGTTCTTTTAAATAAACTGGTCGTTGTACAGTCCCGAGAACTCTTTCTTTATTCAGCGGGTCCAGCGCCTATCTCACTCGGTGTGGCTCGATATAATTGACCTGAAGACCACTCTTTGCCTTGTGCATGACAATACACATTATGATGTTCGTCTAGTGGTATCCTCTATCTTATATAAGATCTGTGTCCTTACCCTATGCATGGTATTTCGTCAGTGAAAGATCTATTCTAGCCAACTTTAGAAGCGAAGCGAAGTTCAGTCATAAACCTAACCTAACCGCTTAGGGAATTCATTTTATTCTCACTTGAGAGATGCGATTTGAAAGAAAGAGGTTATATCAGTTATTTCTATGACTTCGCTTCGAAAAGTTTGTACCTTCCTCTAATGAATCTGATCCCATCTGCTAACTAGAACTAAAGGGAAGTAAGAGAAATTGCCTGTATTTACTATGCCTTGAGCCTTGAAGACGGGATCCCCTACTTCCTGTGTTATGAAGAAGAAAGCCTATCGATTCTGTAGACTCTTCCTTGCTCGACTTCCCGACTTGCCTTCATGTCTCGCTACTGATACACCTACTTGATATCAATCGGCCCCTATTAGTAAAGCTTAGATTTGAAACCGGGCGTAGCAGCTATTTCACCGGGAGTGTTCATCTATTAAGTACATCTACAAGACGATGAAACTCTATATGCCATTATCTTAGTGGTTTCAATGAGCTCAACTATCAGCTTTTCCTTAGCTTAGCTTCCCTGCCCACAAAGTCTGGGTTGACAGGGATTTGGGCAATAGCGGCTAATCATAGAATTCGTTTTTCTTAGTGGTTCAGCAGGTCGTTCGGGAAGTACATGAATTCGGAAAGAAAAGAGGTTTGTTTATTCGGGGGCGGGAAGTCACACTAACTGGATGAAGCTCCATGTTCTATGTCCGTGTAGGTGAAGAAAAGGTGAGCCTATGCCGCTAGTTGGAGTGGTGGCCTTGTCATAGTCTTAGCACTTGTCGAAGAGGCGGTCTTACGTTGGTTTTAAGAATGACCCTTAGGCACCTAGCAGCTCAGAAGTTGCGCTAGCTCGACATAACGATAGGAATCAGTGCAGGTGAAAGCCACTCGCATATGATAGGCGGGAGAGGAGTGAAAGGCTAGCGGATCAAATCATGGGTTCTCATTCCGGAGAGGCAAGTTAGTCGGTTGGTTGAAATGCGGCCGGGTGGACTAAAGTCAAGTGGGAGGTGCGAATAGACTAGTTGTTAAGTTGTACCTCCGGGTCAGCTAGCTCTTCTGGTAGGGCAGCTCGGCTTGCAGCTGTTGCATCTCTTTCTTGTAGCTAGGTCAATGTAATCGAACAAAGCGAAGTTCAGTCATAGACAATAGAAGGAGATCAACTATAGGAAAGTACCAGTTTTACACAGCGCCCGAAAGCATTGATTGAAGGTCTCCTCTTTCAAAGCTAGCATAGCATAGCAACAAGATGCTCAACCATTTCTCAAGACTATATAACTAATCAATGCTACACTCACTGGTAACGAACAGCAGGAATCGCATACAAAAGTTCACAATAAGTATGCCGGTGAAGATAAAGGCACATCCTGAGAAAGAAACTCGAAAATGCTCGACGATACAAACGAAGCGAAGCGAAGTGAAGTCAAAGTTTGGTTTCAATGGTTTAGGAAAGTCAGTGCCCTCCCTAGCCAATGCAGACCAACTTAGAAGAGAATCCACTTGTCCAATGCTTGTTGAGGGTTAGATATCCGGAACTAACATACTTATTTTAAAAGCTCCATCCAAACCTTTTTCTCTTTCGAGCGGGATGAAAGCATTCGTAACTGTAAGGCAAATAGCAGGGCTATCGCGCCTTGCTCAGTACTAAACTTACCGATGTATGAGAGAATTCATTCTGTCCAGAATCTCCTTAGGGGACCTTCGCAACTTTATTATTACGCAATTTTCGGGTTTAACATCCTGGGTACCGCTAAGCTAGTCAGAACTATAGGCCGCAGAGGACGTCCAAAGTAAAAAATGTGTCTGCCCTTTAAGCAGTGCGTGGGGAAAGAGAAAAGCTCAATTATATCGAGCCTTATGCACTTTTTCTGTCACATCGGTATCAATGCGCAAAGAGCTACTTCTTTCGCTGCTTATTCGTCGTTTAGTTTTCACTGGCAAATGGATGTGGGATGGAGCTTGAATTAAGGAACCCAGCGGCCTTGCCCTGATTCAAAGTGTCGTGGTACCAAGAGTCAAGGATGGAGGGTTAACTAATATCATAGAGGCATTCCCCCAGGGCAATTAGATGTCAGGTCAGCATTGAGCGATGGGACCAAGAAGATGAAAATCGGATGCTATAGAGGAAGATTCGCGTCTGCTACCCTACCCGAATTTCTATGACTGAACTTCGCTTCGAAAAGTTTGTATGGTCGAGTATCTTCTCTCCTCTCCTTGACGTCGAGACTCACTTTGCTCTCCTGATTACGGGTACAGAAAAGCAAAACTACCAGAATTGAAAGGTCAATCCCCTTGCTTTGAACCCGCTTAGTCGGCATGACCGATCGCACGCACAGGATGAGATGATGCTGACGACTCGTTCAAATCCCGCGTCTTATCTTTCTGGGGCGGGAGTGTGGGAATATCAGTGAAAGAGTGATTCTATCCGCTCCTTGGTCCTTCCTGTCTTTGCACAAATCCATCCCCTCATGACTCTCATCTCAAAGCGGAGCAATAGTAAGCCTTAAGATAATACTGAAAAAGCCTCCTCGCGGAAAGAGCATAGCTAGGCTCGATATAATTGACCTTTTGTTCTGAGCGTAGCCCTATTTATTCTCTTCCGTTCTTCCTCGGTCAGTCAATCGAATTCCCATCCGAGCAACCTTCAGTCTCATACGAAGATGCCCTATTTACCGATTCGAAAGCAATGGAAGAAAGACCTTGAATCTGAATAGATCTTCCTGGCGCTTCAAGATCGATTTCATCTCTATGAACTCCTCCTTGCCATGGTTATGAAAGCGAGACTCTTGCTAATGCAATCCAATATTTAAGGAAGGCTGCTTTGTCTTAGTCTGATCTTGGCGGGGAAGAAGGAGCGTAGCGAACCGCTAATCGGTCAGCGAGCGTAGCCCTCTCTGTTTTTTCTGTCTGACTAATCTCAGAACTAGGTAAATCGAGACCTTCGGTCTGTCTTGACTTGATCTTCTTTCTTTCTTCGGATGAAAATCCAAAACTAGCTAGTTCAAGAACTCAATTACATCGAGCCTATTCCTTCCTAAGCCGACTAGGTTGAAAGCGGGTAAGCGAGCGAATAAGTTCCAGACGAGCATTGCATAGGAGCGAGGATGGAGCTACCTCTCCGACTGGGCCTTCTCGCATTGATCATGTAGTAGGTATCGCCTTCTCTCAGGTCGGATTTCTACCTTTATCTTCTTGATTCGAGTAGTGATGATCACCTGAGACTCTTATACTCAAAGACATGATGGGAAGACTCCACCTCTTCGGTACACTAGAGCACCTGACAAACAAACTGTAATCGTTGAAGGCAAGTACGAGTTCCGGCTAGGACTAAGAGAACAACAATAGATCATAACATAAAGACTGATCTTCTCACGGAAAAAGTAATGATGCCGACTCCGGGGACGGAGCGCATAAGCTTGACCGATGAAGTTCAGGATCGAGAACCTATTCACTTCTATGACTGAACTTCGCTTCGCTTCTAAAGTTGGCTCGATATAATTGACCTCTATCACCTTCTTTGTACTATGCTTAACAAAGTCAATTCAATCCATCCATTACGACACGACATGGCTTGCTTTGTTGAATTCTAGTCTAGTCTCTCCCTTCGGCTTCTTCCCCGCTGGTCTACTTCAGGCTCCTTTCCTAGCCTATTAGTGACTCCCCCTGCTACTCAAGAAAGATGGTATCCAAGGTTCAATAGGTTTTTTCTTTTATGCTTCATATTCCAGATTGGGTGAACCCCTGTAGTAATCGGATGAACTGGGTTGTACCTGTTTCGATTCAAAATGACAAAAGTAAGTAACCGGGCAGCAGTAGGAGCCCTAAAGACGAAGGGCGTGAGTGCAGTAGACGCTTGAAAGATTATATGGTGGAACTCAAATCCTTTATCCCAGTCTCGAAATAGACTGTGTCGAGACTGCTATTATTTCTTTCGGGTTCTTTCCTCAACCAGTCGCCCCTGTGTGAAAGGGGTCAAGCTTGGAGACTTCTCATTGTGGGGAATCCTACTATCACGCAACTTGCATTCCGGTTCTACATATCGAATTGGGGAGTTCCGGTTTTCTAAGGATGTATTCAAAATTGCTGGCATAGCAGGGACTAGGGAGACCATAGTTGCACGGAAATTTGCTGTCGGGGCTCTTGGTCCAATTCACAACATGATTAACAAAAAATATATGGCCATAAGAAATTCTCCTATCTTAAGTTTTTAAGCCCTTTCTACACCTTCAACAATGAGATTTCAAAAGAGGCTCGATGTAATTGACCTTCCTAAGAGGCCAGACATTGGATTGAGGAAAGGTGCAGATCTTGGTCTTCTGGACCTGAGCATGTTTTTCATAGTTGATGGTCCGCTTGGGGAAAAAGAGATGTTAGGTGGGTAGGCCCAGGCAAGAGTTGCATGTGGTCGGTCGTCAGATGCCATCGGTTCATCATTCAGACAGATGCGCGATATGTGAGATAGAATGCCCGCCTTTATACAATCCATTTTTGCTTGCCTCTCACCAAAGTTCGTACTAAATGGGCGCTAAGAAAAGAGAGGCGGAGGGTGGCATCCATCGTACTATTGAATCCGAGGGGAAGGAGAGATTGCAAGCAAGCTTGAACCAAAGTTACTCTGCCTGCTAGAGAGAGCTGATTAGCCTTCCATCCGGAAAGTTTAGTCCTCATTTTATCCGAAATCCCTTTGTATCTTTCTTTCTCCTGCCCCGTGCATTCCAACATCTTTCGATCTTCAGTCCCCCTCATTCTGTCCACCCACCGTGAAATAGAGTCTGACAGTAGTCGAACCTCTTTTACCTGTTCGATCAAGGAAGTCGAAAAGAAATTGATAGAAATTTCTTAATTAGTCAAAAGAAGAATTGCAGTCTTTCCGTTCCTATCCGCATTGTCATCAGATCCGTTCTTCTTCATCAAAGGACAAGAGAAGAGTAGTGGTACCCCAACGGCTGACAAGAAAGAAAGCACACCAACTGTTCACAATCCATATAGATATAGAAAGTGTGCAGTGAGGGATCAGGTAGCTAGTCTTTAGTCGGTCCAAGAATGACTATAAGTTAAATCATGACAGTAAAACAGAATGAAGACAAAGCGTCTTTTTTAACTAAGCTTACGAGTCACCTAACCTAGAAGAGCGGAAAGCCGAATCCTCGAATAGAATAAGAGCTCTCACAAATGAAAAAAAAGGAAAAGAAGCATGTGAAAGCTTACCTTTATCTTCTCAGGAAAAGCGCAAATGAGAGGGCATTGGAGTATACTGCCCCTGGGAATCCATCTTCGTTGATGGCTCTACCAGAGTGAGAAGAGGGACCATTCTTCGTGGCCCGCGGTCTTAGCCTACGTGACTAAGGTAGATTTCTCTCTTCCGGAGTTCTCAATAATCTACTGTCTTAATTCAATCAGTATCCAAACTTGATCTTTATTTAGTTTACCGAGAATCAGGAGCGAAGCTGGCAGCTTAAACCAACTTGAATCAGTCCGATCGAGTTGACTATAAAAGAAGGGGGCAAAGTCAATCAATGAGAAAGCCTACTACGTGCGCTAGTTCGAGGAGAAGACAGGCTGTCTTTCCCCCTTAGACTTTACCTTTTTCCTCCATAGCGAGAGCAGGCTATGAAATAGAAAGCAAAAGAAGAAAGAAAAAGGAGAACGAAGTGAGTCTCGACTGAAAGGAAACAAACGAAGCGAAGCGAAGTGAAGTCCTGGTTACATTGGAGGAAACAAACCGAGTGATGAGATTTCCCAATGCTTGCTTTCTTCAAATCTTGCCCCAGAAAGTCTTTCTATGTAAAGTAAAAAAGTGAACCTCTTATAAGAAAGGAAAGAGCAAGACCAAGGAATCCGTCCCAGAGCCCTCGTCGAGTCAACTTTCTCCTCCTAGACTAAAGTCCGCCCTTTTGCTTATCCCTATCCCGATGAAAATAGACAACACGCGCCGGATGGAAAACGAATTCTCCTTCTTGATAAAAAGAATCAGAAAAATAAGAGTTTGAAACATTAAATATCTTGTCAATCTGGACTTGTTTTTCAATTTTTGACGAACGAAGCGAAGTGAAGCTTTTATGACTGAACTTCGCTTCGCTTCGTTTGTTTGGTCGAGACTCACTTTGCTCTCCTCTTTTTTTCATTTGAATTACTCATTAATTCTACGTTCCCGATATGAAACCTATCAAGTATTTACTATTTTCTATCATCATCTCTATTTCAATCTTTTGTATCGTAAATTGGAGATATATAAAAGAATCCTTCTGGGTTCGAAAGGTGTGTTCAGCTTATGTTGAGAGGTATATGACATATTATAGAATAGGTAAATCCCTACTGGGCACTTACCTCAACTGTTGCAGAGGTTGTTCGGAGTTTCCCATCCCTAGGGTCGATTACATTGAGGACTCTTCTTTTGTGCTCCCCACTTCTTCATGTACAGGAGTCCTATAGCCTAGTTCTTAAACTCTTACCGCAGCTGGTACGGAGTAAACGAGTTACGTATTAAAGCAAAGGGAACATAGACATACGGCGGGACAGCGCGAAAAAAATAATCTTTTGGTGACTTCTCCACCTCGGCTCGGAATATGTTAGAAAGCATTTTGATAATTAAAAACCTCGTGTGCATGAAATAATAGATGGTCCCCCCGAGGTCAGACCAAGGGAAGAAAGGCTCTAGTCGCTTCCGTAGGGTCGAAGGGAGGAGAGTGGGAAGAGTTGGCCAGGAGAGCAAAGTGAGAAACAGCCTTCTACAAAGCTCTCTGTCAGGAGAGAAAGAAGGCATACATCCAAGAGGAGATAGGATGCGCAACGCCGGTTCATTATCACTGAAAGGCCTATCCTATCCCTTTGTCTAGACCGGAATCGAAGGTCAATTGCAAAGAACACATAGCTCTATCGCACTATCTGAACTTGAAGGTTAAGTTTGTGGACTCGTGACCCCCATGTCCGATTGTGGTTTGAGTGAGTAGGACAGATAGTTTCTCATCTCGGGCAATTCAATTCCAAATGATAGCAATCTTTCGAACGAAAACAAATGGTGCAGTAGGGCGGAATGGGCATTGACCCAACGAACGAAGCCTTCAATTTAATGGCTTCCCAACGAACTTTTCGAAGCGAAGTTCAGAGAAGGCTCAGGCGGAGTGCTGCTTCCGTACCCGCTTCGCCTCTCAACAAAAGAAAAGAGTTTGATTTTTCCCATGGCAGATTAGAATGTTTGAATATTTTTCCCCTGTTCGTCTTCTCCTTCATCTTCACCGATGCTATTTTCGGCCCCGGTTGGCTTGAGATGTTTGCTTGGTTGGCTGATTTGTTCTTCTTGCGCACCACTTGAAAGGGCTCATCGAAACATATAAATGCCAACCAAGTAGGAAAGAAAGGCTAGTGACTCGTCAGACTGATTGAGGGTGATTGTAGTTTGCCAACGCCAACAAGGCTCTGTTTTTTTATTATGGAAGGAACGAAGCTATTCAAGCTTTTGACGAGCGCTCACTTTAATTTAATAGGAATAAACAGGTTCCGGAACCTTGAAAAGAGATCGTTGGGGAAAGTCGCTTTGGGCAACACAAGGATCTAGTTCATTATTGAATGTATTGGAGCTTTCCGGATGATGCTTTCTCTCAATTACATTGACCCTCATGATAAGGAAAGCAAAGAGGAAGTTTGACCAACTGAGTAGAGTAAGGTACTTCTCCCCCGTACTGAATGCTTCCTTATGAAACTAGGACGCACCAAAGGCAGAGAGAGGAGCAGCTTGACCGGACGAGGCGGGGGACCGAAAACCTGAAAGCAGCCTCCCATGGGATCTGCTGTTACCGTGATGCGCTGGAATGCTTGAAAGCGGATCTTTCCATCTCGTGAGCAGACCTATTCTTGCAAGAGGCAATTCTCGGAATCTGCCTTTTCTACATAAAAAAGCGTTCGCGCAGGGAGTCCCATTCTGCATCACTGAGAAGAAAATAGCCCTTGTCTATGCATTTGTACTAGAGAATTTAGGTCTTTCAATAGAAAAATCCTAATCCTTAAATTATGCTCTTATAGGCCCATTGGTTCCTCATTAGCTTCTTAACTCGCCTTTGGTCGGGCAAGGTCAATCGGAACAAAAGGAGTAACCCTTCGATTGGGATTGGCTTGTTGGCCGGCTTTCGCGAGGAGTCCTATGAATGCCGCATGTGGTAGCAAAGCAAAGACTTGGCACTAAAGTTGGGTCGATATAATTGACCTTCACTTCGCAAGGGATTGACGCAGCCTTTTGGAGACGTTTACACAACCGAAAATCCCATGGATTCCTGCACTGCCCCGGGCTTGTTATTTCCATGAATCGAGGAAAGATGATCTGGGTAGGCCCCGACTATTTCAGTTTCACGTTAAGGGCGAGCCCTTTCGCCTTCTCTTTCTGCCATTCGTTACAATATGTGTATCCGGGAAGAGTTGTTTGGTAGCGCCTCCGCTCGCGGTAGAGGAGGGATTTCAGCAGGGGGCAAGATAGGCTGGTAAGATATTGAGTCAGGACGTCGTTCCCGTCCCACCAAGGTTCCGAACTGGAAGGCGAAGTTCTTCTTCGTCCGACCTCCTCCTAACACCCTTTACTTCCCTTCTACTTGGCTTTCCCCCTTATCCCCATTTTACCTATTGGTAATCGGACTGTGGGATTAGTGTAACGGCCAACTTGCTTCCACAACGGCCCTGGTGATGAAACTGAATGAAGTTAGTCATTCTGCTTGTATCGACTTCCGTCTGTTCAATACCGATACCCCTGTCATCTTCCGACCAAAGCTTCCCCATATTATAGGTACCCGAAGTACGTACGGTCCGAGAAGGAAGAATAGTCCAAGATCCGCGACCATGTTGAGTTTTTTGTCCCACGCCTGTCTGCATCCCAAGCACTAAATGAGTGAAATCCAATTCCGGAAAAAGGCTCTCTTGCATCTTTTGCTTCCCCACCCAACGAACGAAGCGAAGCGAAGTTCAGTATACGAATTCGTTATTCACCGTCTTCGGAAGCAAGTCAGTGGCTTGATCCCCATGCTCGCTCTTGATCTGATCACTCGCGAATACGAATAGAGAGGGATATAATTGAGAGAAGGCATGAAATTATCTTTCCTAATTAGTATTAGTCGATCAATCCTTTGACTTCACTTCGCTTCTTCCTTAGGGATCGGGAAACCGGCTTTGACAGTGATCGGAGGCCATCGAAACAGATCTCTCACTGGCATACCGAAAAGCACAAAAAAAAGAGTCGAAAAGAAGCATCAGAGGTTTTTTCTTTCCGAGCCGGAAAAATGCATTAGAGTGTTGTCTAGTATTCACCTCTTCCCTCGGCTGGAACTGGCACTCCACCCCGAAACCAGGATACATCATCAATAAGATGAGGCGGACTCGGGCAGAGAATGACCAGAAAAGCAGAGGGGGAATTCGTAAGGCCACTAAAAAAGCCAACGTAGATCTTTGGGCCTAACAGCTCTTTGAGTGATCGAGTTCAGAAGCTTAAAAAAAGATTAATTAGAAGCGGGTTGGAAGATCAAGAATGAAAAATAGAAAGAAAGAGTCATCCCCTAACCCAAAACTTAGTCAATTAGTCGGGCAGGGAAGAGCTTCGATTTCCTGGGGCATCTTACCTGCTTTAAGCCGCCCCTTGTTTGGCCGTTTAACAGCCGGTCATGCACCTTCTGCTTCCCTTTGTGGCCTATCCCAGCCCAGGAGACACGAAGAAGCCTTTTTCGCGCTACAGACCAAAAGTCTTTAAGGAAAAAAAGTATTTATTCGGCCTTCAGCCAAATCCGGGACGGGACTTGCCTGACTGACATCTTTGCTTAAGTTTTTCTTTCAATGGAAGGCTGGCGGGACCTTTGACCGAATTCATAGGGTCAGAGAAACCCAGTGGTTTGTCCAGAATTATGCTTTGCTTCGCTTCGTTCTGTTGCCCGGTGGCGTCTAAGCTCTCGGAGAATACCAGGGTCAAATGACGGATTCGCAACTCCAAGGCAGTTTTCACATTGATTCAGCACTTGAGGCCAAATCTACCATATAATGAATGAATTAGTAATTTATAGACATAAGAAAGGGCATTATTTCCCATCTTTTATAGCTATGCTTGGGTCAGATCCCCAGAATATGTTTGACCGGTCGTTCGCTTCGGCCGTAGTGAATTCAGCCTTAGCGGGAAGGGAAGAACTAGCGCGTGATTCATCCGGGCAGGAATGGTTGATAGACTTCCCTTGTTGATTTCGGATCTGGTGAATATTTGCGACAAGAAATGAATCCGGATGACTGACCCCTTGAATCCAGTTCAGATAATGTCTTTTTCTTAATAGACCGTCCAACATAGCTCTTTTGGGGGATCGAATAATAAGAATTTCCGATATCGGGAACTCACTTTATCTACGAGATGTTTCCGGCCGGGGCCCTACCTTCGGTGAGCTCATCATGTGAAATCCGAGGAAAGTTGGAGAAGTGCCCGCCATTCGACCTGCTTCGATCATCGAAAGGGATTGGTGGTTGTCGCAATCTTCCTTCTGCAAGGGTTGAAAGCGCGTTGGAGAAGATATGCAGGCGAAAGCTATTGGATATGTAAACCTTGGACTTATCTTAGCTTAGAAGTAGGGAATATGTTGAACTTGAATGAAAGCCAAAAGCGAAACTGTAGAAAGGGAGCTAAGCGTCACGAGTGGTCCTCTGACAGATATACGATGTCTGGTACGTGAGCGCCTTCTTGAAGAGGTCCCGTCTCCACTATTTTGCGTCAATCTTCTTCCCTGCCGAAAACAACGAGGGCTGAAGCTGCGAATGGGCGTTCACGGCTCGACTATTGATTGAAACGAAACTCGCGAGAACTTCTATTAGGCTTAAAGGCACAAAAGATAGGATCGAATCCGAAAAGCAAGANGTAGCCCTGATCTCGAATATCTCCGAAAAGTTTGTAGCTAGAGCCGGGTTTTTTCGAGGTTCTTTCTTTCTTCCCTACTTCCGCTGTCAAAGCCTTACTAGATTAGATGGGGGGGCGAGTCGGGCGAGAGAGAGAAAGTCCTCCTTCTCACTCGACTTGCGAGAGTCACTGCCACTCCGTGCGCCATAAGCACCACCCCCAATTTTTTTTATACCACATTCATTTTTCAGCAAAGTTGCATTGTGTTTTTTTGCATTTGTGTTGGGGAACGTAAAGAGATTTAGTAGGTGATAAGTATAACCATAAGTGCCAAAATGGAACAAGTTTCTCTTAAGTTAATGATCAGTGGCTTGCTTGCCTCCCTTAAAAAAAGGCACATCACTTAGACTGCTAAAAACTGATGCAAGCTAAGTTCCTCAGTACCTATGGGCCAAAGCGTTTAAGAAATCAGTGCATAAAAAATATTGCCTTCGTCGACTATTGCCTCAATTACATCGAACCTCATCAAAAGTGTTTTCAAAAGATTCCAAACT